GTTATGGCACTTTTTAGAGTGGACCTATAATTTTGTCCAGCACTGTACTAACTTCAGTGACGCTGTTATGTTGCTGTTATAACAAAGTGGCGCGCCTGTGAGCGTATTAAATAAATAAAAAAAATAAAATAAATATCAAGCAGGTCATGCTTAGGCATGACCTTTACGGTGCTCAGGCAGGAGTAATGCTATGGTTAGGAAGGTGCCGACAAAGTTTGGCACACTGAGAGAAGCTAACCGTTATGGAGAGGTCCAGCTCCTTATTAGTCCTCCACAATCGCCTCGTTATTCGGAAGAAGTTTTCCGAGCTTAGCGTGAATGACTTTCTCCGAGTGAAGACAGATATTCCACTGGCAATATACTCCAGGTGATCTTTGTGATTCAATGTGCGGTCCGCGTTGGCCCATGAAGGGAAATTTTCTGCTCCACGAAAAGAGTAGTAATCAAAGAAGGCAGTAGAATGACGCGAATTATAGATATGAAGCTTCTCAGACACTCGGATAAACTATTCTCTCCAAATACGAATAATCTATTCTGACGACGTTCCAATAGATCATTTGATTATCTCTCGGCATTCATCCATACTTTTCGAGTTTGATCGAATTTCCTTTATCGAAAATATTACTCATCGAATATTATTGAAGTTCTTTCAAAATCATACGATTTTTTCTCAATTAATTAGGAGAATTCCGCTGACTCAGTCTATGCTGCCTAATTTTTTAAGAGTGCTGAGAATTCTGTAAATGTTTTTACTGCTATGCTATTGCTACACCTTTACACTACAAACCTTGGCAAGTATGACCAATTAGCTCCAGCCCTATACAAGCGCTAATTTCCAAGAATTGTGAGTTTTGGTGTAGAAAGCGAAAAAGGAAATATTTTTGTGTCTTGGTCTATATTGCCATGGAAAAAAATCAGCACCTGCACATATGAATGTGTGAGGAGTAATGTGCGTGGGTAAACTGGAGGTCCGTAGGTTTTGGATGGGGATCAGATTTTTCGGCAACTGACTTTTTGGATATTGACTTCGAAATTATGAGTAATTTAATTTCTTGCGAATGTTTAAAGTTATTAGGTTTACTCACGCATTGGACGTCTTTTCTGAGTCCTGACGCGGCTTTGATGGGGATAGATTACTCATGCATTCGACGATTTCAGACTCTGAAGAAGGCGATTTAGCCGAAACGTCAGTCGAATAAAGCAATTAGTAATCCCGGTGTGAAGCTCAAGCAGTTCTCAAAGAAAATTTCGCAATGCCGAAATGAGCGGCGGTCATACTTGGATAGCTTCAAACAGGGCTCAGCACAGCTGGCACCGCTCAGACAATTCTGCGCGCAAGCGGCGCGCACTCACTGCCAGCAGGGCAGGCGGCGGGCTGTGATTTGTGGGCGTGACCTTGCACCGCACAGGCGGCGCGCACTGATTTCAGCCAACAGGCGGCGCGCGATGCATGTTCGCAGGCGGCGCGCAGACACAGTGTGCGTGCAGGCGGCGCGCAATGACTTTCTGTAGCATCACGTAAGCGAGGAAGGACGCTGCTTTCGCGCGCAAATGCAGAATTTTTTGCAGATAATCGTTTCTACTCGTTCCTCCTTGTTTTTTTTTCATACAATGTATTGTGTTGTTTATTATCTCACTTTTACTCTGCTGTTTCACCTCCTTTTCTGTTTCTAAATTGTTTTGAAATCAAGTATGCGATTCTTTTTTTGCCTTTTTGTAGCACGTCCTCTTTTATTTAATCCAAATCCACTCTTGTTTCTCAGTCAGTCTTCCATATCTTTTATCATACCTCTGGTTCTTAATCATATTGACCCTGTGACACAGGGACGCTCATTTTCAATCAATAACGCTTTCTTGCGTCGTTGCGCCTCCTTCGTTTCTTTCCGTTGCCATTTCTTTCTCTTCTTTTTTTTCACAAGATAAAAGCAATGTTTGATTCAGGTCACAACTGCCTTAGTACAATGATGGCTATGTGCGAATGCCGAAAAAAAGTCGACGTCAAAAGAGTAAGTCTTTTTGAAGCCAAAGTAGGCATTTTGTTTAAAATCGTTATTGTGTTTCAGCCACCAATCTACAATGACTCCAAATACCAAGAATCAAGACAATTTATGGTCGTGGGACCTCAGCCCTGACTATTTATTTTGGAGAGGTGAAAAAATGCATTTTTTCTGCATTCGTCAAAATTCATTGCTTTTTCTCTTCAGTTTGTTAATAGCGTGTATTTCAGCGCCTAGACCGACTGAAGGAATCAACTCTTGGTAGAACAAAAAGCATTACGGGAACTAACGAGGACGAGGCTGATCCAGATTATTCATGTCTTAGATTTATTCATGTCTCATCGTTCATCCCAATTTTCATGCGTATACCCATCATATCCCCGTCATCCAATTGTTTTATTCCTGTAATTGAATTGGGTATATGAAATCCATGAGCATTTAATTCTGGCTGATCAAGCATGCCCGCGTTTTTTCATTGCTATCACATTTTCATATTTTATTCCTCTAGAATGTACATATATTATGCATTCATATCTATGTATACATGTTCAGTTTATTTATCGAAGTACTTAGTGATTTTATTGGCAGTTATTTCAAATTATCTCGTCATACTGTTGTATTCGTTACTATCAGATTCATTGTATTCATTACTTCATACACACGTCTTGTTGATATCACATTTGGATGTAAATACGTTGTTGATGTTGACTTTGAAATGTCTGTGAATTTTGTATGTACTACCTAAGCTAATAGTATTGAATGCCAGCTGTCAAAGACAGCATTATTCTATAAATACTGTATTTTTGTTGCAATTTGTGTTGAAACCCTGTCAAATTTGAAAATTGTATACATTATTCGTTAATAAAATAGTTGTGAAACCACATTGTCCAACAAGCATAAGATACTCAGATCGACAACAAAAATCCGAGCAGATTCCTGCCAAAATTTTTCTCGTAGCGCGCAGGCGGCGGACCTTCAATCCATAGGCGGCGCGCACTGCACACACAGGCGGCGGGAAGGCACATCGCTCGCTGATTCAGTGCGCGCCGCCTGCGCGCAGATTTGTCTGAGCGGGTCAAGCTGGATATCGTTTTTAGCGCGGAAAGCAAAAGGGATATCGTTTCTAGAGGGGCCGAGACGGAGAACTGCCGCAAAAATGCCGCCGGCATGCCATTGGCAAGCTTTCCATCAACAAACATAAGCGTTGTCTTCATCCAAAACGCAATAGTATGACACCAAATTTGGTGTGTGCATGGGCGTTGATGGACCGGAACTACGGACCAAAAATTTATGAAAACTTATGTGAATGAAAGCTGCGCCGAACTTTTTTCTGAATTAGCTGGCCCCGTGCCAGCTGGGTGCCAGCTGAGCTGGCACCGACACTTTGCTCACATAAGTTTTCATATTTTTTTACATAAAATGTATCTACACTGTAAAATATTACACATGGAGAAGAAACAGTTTCATAATGTTCTCTTTTCAGCGTTTTATAGCAATTTGAAAACCACTCGGTCCGCTCCGCCGTCGAAAAATCGGCTTTTTCTGCTTCTCAAGATGTGTTTCGACCACTTAAAAAGCTCAGAAAGCTGGAAAAATTCTTTCATGGAATCAGAAATGCATGAAAACACTACTACTTTTACATAATATAAAAATGATGACGGGTTTTCAAAACAGGTCAAAAGGGACTTCGTCGAAATTTTCAATATCAAACGGGACTTCGTTTTGAAATTTCCCTGGTGCCAGCTCGTGCCGAGCCCTGGTTTCAAAGGTAAATTGTAAAGCTTGACGCATATCGAATAGTGTTTTTTTTTACATTCTTGTATTTACTCTGCCGTGGATGCATGAAAACATGCACTAATCTTGCATTAATCAAGTAATGCTTTAATACCGCTTCTTAACTCATTCACGACAAGGCCGATTTTTCGACTTCTGCCGTTTCGGACCAGAGCCTTTTTCGCTTTGTCAAACTTACGACCCACCCTGGATCGTATTGTCCAAGGAAAAAATTTTTGGAAGAAATTCAAAACATGTTACACAAACAAACCAGAATTTCCCATAAGGGTTATCGAAGGCGCTGATTACCAGAATATGATTTCATTTTGTAGGAACCCAACATCATGGATTTCCATGAAAAATTGTGTTTAGGGACTATTTCACGTGCCGATCACGATTATAGTGTCCACTTTGTTCGCTACTTTACCACAGTGGGACTACAGTAGCAGTACGGTAGAGTTTTCGTAAGAATCAAAAAGCTGATGTAAGAATGCGGTATTAGGACTTGATACTATCATTTTCATAAACAGCATGCTAAAAAACCTATATATGTAAAGTTTGAGCTTCCTTGGATGAACAATGCGAAAAATCAATAAAATCAATAAAATTGATGATTTTTGATGAGTTGACATCAGTCCCATCCTTCCCTGTATTTCTCGTGCATGTGAACTTGAATTATCAAAAACAGCACCACTCTGCGAAAAATTTGAGCTGAAGTCTTGCCTTACCTCTACCTACAGTATACCTACCGTAACATTACATTACAGTATCCCGAACCCGGGCCACTCTGGCTGGAGCGTCGCCCAGGTGTCCCCAATCATATGCCGGAACTCCGTAGAATTCCATCGCGTACTGGCAAAGCTAGAGCTTCAGGAATCTTACGACCTACCGGTGGCTCGCATTGTCCGAAAAGGCAGAACACGTACGACCCACCGATGGGCCGTATTGTCGTGAATGTGTTAAACCGGTCTGATTCTATTAATTTTCACATTCTTGGACAGTGGAGCATTGCGAAATGCTTTCTATGGTATATGCTTAGAGAATTCTATGACGGAGATTGATCCATATTTTTTTTTGCTTTTATCGTGATACTGCTGCTATGGCGCATGTGATTTGCGTGCGCAGTATTACGCCTCGCTCTTGAACATATTGAAGTCCTGTCAACTGACATCCCCCAAATTGAAAATTTTGTATTACTCAGAACAATTGCTCCAAAGCACAAAGTTCCACAGACAGTTATGATCACAAAACCTGAGACCACGATACGAGATATAGACTTTTTATACAGTATGCTCACATGGCACTAAAGCGGAGGTACAACAACGCCATTTTCTCTTCTCTCCAGATACCGCCTCCTAAACTCCTCTATCTGCTCAGGTCCATTCCTCTGTTTCAATATTTCTTTCAAACGAATCAATCGCTGCACTTTGTCGTCTTTCTTCGGCTCCAATTTCTTCTTTAGAGACTGAAACATAAATATTGCAAAGTAAAGTATCAAAACCTTTGAAACAAACTATACATACCTCTTTCTCTTTCTTTTCCTTGCTATCGCCATTTTCTCGAGTTCGGTGGGCGTGACTTCCGCGTTCACCTCGATGTCGATCACCATCTCTGCCTCTCTTTCTAGGATCATGTCCCTCATCATCCGAGGAAGGTGGCGTAGGAGTAAATTGTCGCTCCCTGAGTTTCTCCGATTTTGTTTGTGCTTTGACAACCTGGAACGATTAGATTTTTTTACAGCAACTGGCTGTTAAGAGATTTAGTATTAGTATTTGGAGCGATGCTCGCGTTTCTCTGGAGTTTTTCTCTGACTCAATGAATCGAATCGAACTGTTGTGAATAAAAATCAATGCAAGACAGAGCATATGTTTTGATGTCTCCCTTCTAGTAAATGAACTCCTCAGAAACAGACCAATCACCGAGTAAAAGCAAAATTTCAACATTTTGGAAGACTAACAAAATACCGCGAAACTTCAAAGTTTGTCACTCTCCCACTGCAACACAATCATGAAAAAGTGGATCATAATTATAAGAGCAACCTATGCAATGTCCAGAATGTTCATCAAAACCCACCCCATAGAGTGCTCATGTTTAAGTAGGTCAAGCAACAACCTTACGATGTAAAAGTTGGAAGCGACATTAATGAAACTGCTTGTTGCACTTCTGGGTTTTGTAAAAGTTAGAAAGTACCAGGCAAGTTAGGGTCCTGTCAAATAAGAAAGTCAAATCACTAAAATATTTTGTGCCTGACTCCGAGCATACTTTACTTCTCCTTAATGCACTAGATGGAAACACAAAATCCGCTTTATTTGCTATTGAGAACTCCACTAAGACACCCACCCTATTCAATCCCGGCTTCAATTCGCCAGGGAAATTCTTCTTCGGTGGCTCGAATTTAGGTTGTGTGTCATCCTCATCGTCAGAATAGATTGATTTTTTTTCTTTAACAATTTTTTCTTTTACGGTAGATTTTTCAACAACTGTGGTAGTCGCTTCCTCCTCGTCGCTTGACTGTGAACTCCCTCTTTGTCTGAAGACCATGATAACAGATTGCAAAAAAGAAAGTTAATTTTTGCAACGAACCTTTGACGTATATTCCGCGCCTTCTTCTTGGTTGTGACTATCGCTGAAGCACTACCATCTTGACCGTGTAATTCGCCTTTTTGCATCATGCTCTGTTCCCCTCTGGCAAGCTCGTTCAACAAAGTTCGTCCAAAACCAGCTTGCCAAGCTTTCTGGTGCTCCACCGATGTGAGCTCTAAAAAAGTGTGAGAATAGTAAAGTAAACAATTTACAGCCTACAAAATTCATTTAGCAAAACCAGGTGTGCTATCCAAAGCAGAGACTATATATCGAGTTCCCGCACCCACCATTGAATCTCTTCTCGTACTCTTCTTCCTCTCGGAATTTTTGCACTTCCTCCATCTGTTTCCTGTAGGCTCCAGTCACAAATACCTAAAGAAACACAAATATAAACGAGAGCAGCTGCCTGACATCCAAACCAACCTCTTTATCAGCAAACTGGCCACCTTCTTCGACTCTTTCCTTTTGCTGCTGCCGCTCTTCTCGACTTTGCTGCTCCAGTTCACGTCTTTTATGCGCTTTGATGATGTCCAAAGCATATTTGGACTTCCGCTCCTTGTCAGCCTTTTTCCTTTCTGCTATCTTGATAGGCAGCTTAGAGCAAAAGAACAGAGAACGCAATAATTTGGTGAGAAATACTGACCTTTTCATCACGAAGTGCTTGTATTTGGTCGTAGCTGGCATCATAATCAAATATTGTGGGATCTTCAGCTAATGCCATCTCCTGTAGCCGCTCAGCATGTTTCTGCACTCGAAGAGTAGATGCGGATTGAATCTGATTCGAAACATCAACCTGAACACTTTAAGATTAGAAAGGAGTTAGTGGAAATCAAAATTAGTGTGCAAGAATTACAAATCAAGACATTATTATTCTATACCAACAGAACTACTTTCTGACACTCTGAGAGAAAACTGAGAACTAGTATATATATAAACTTCCGGAAGGTAAGCGTTTTCAAAAAAAATTGTGCAATCAATTCTCAGTTAAAGTACCAACTGCCGTCATTACAAGCTGAATTCATATACCTCCTCTCTAGCAAAACAAAAGGATTTCACCTAAATTGAGAAATACTCAGTAAACGCAACTTCTCGAAATGAGTAAGACGCTGCACCGATCGCTCACTCAGCATCCACTATTTCCAGAAAAAACATCACAAACCTTGACACTACTATAAACTCGGAGGCACATGTTCGTAAACAATTTACAGGCCCCAAAGAGTTAATTGCAATCAAAAGTGCGAACACAGCTTGAAGGCAGTGGCTCGCTAAGATGTACTCTTGTCAGATTTCAGTGGTGTTGGGTATTTATTACACCGTAACCCCTAACCCCATCCTCGAATTCTAGCGTAACTCCCGGAAAAGCGCTTCCACAACCAGTCCTGCCCACTTTAGGTTAGGCGTCTTCTGAGATTCTGAAGCGCGTTTTTAATATTTAGCGTAAGAATTGGAGGGGTTGCAGCAATAGCGACTAGGATCTACTACCTGATACCACTAAAATCTCACAATGGTTCATTTCGCCAACCAATACCTTCAAAACAGATGATGTTTAGACAAAAAATAACGTCTTCGCTACCTTTTCGGCCTCGTCGTCGTCATCACCAAAAACGCTGGCGACTTGTTGCGGTTTTGTAATAGGCTTGTCCGGTTTCTTTTTCAATACGAGTCCATACTGCCTGAATATGTGCTTTGACTTATAAGCATCAATCATAGACTTGGATGATAGTCTATGATCCACTTACTTCTTCTTCAACTCTGCAGACATGAGCTTCTTCCTGCAATGAGGCACTGATGTAGAAACGAACTCGAACCAAACACTTGCACTAATGTATGATAAAGTACTGCAGCGGTTGCAACTGAGATACTTTGATATCCGTGATAACGACAACTGAGATACTTTGATATTTATAATCTTTTATTTGATAACCTCAAGAAAGAAAGGATTCTTTAAAACAACAAGCAGATACATTATTTGGCAAGAAGACACATCTTCAGTGGCTGGCTGTATATGGATCTGCTGCAAAAGCTTCTATGAAATAAAGTGGAGCAATAACAAGGTGATGAGAAGATGTGTTATCACAGATAAGAAATTGCCTTGTATAGGGAAGCGCTGACTGTACAATGAAACCAAGGACCAGCACATTTGTCGGACATTCAAGTTAGAATGTTGCTAAATGCTAAGAAGAGAGACTAATACGCTGAGACAGGCAAGATGACAGACATGATAGACAACTATTAATATTGTAACCAATGAAGGAAATTATGCACAAAAAGATATATGAACACCTTTTGATGCTGGAGAGATTGCTTCACCAAAAGTCATTGATCAGTTATTAGAAGTCATGTTTCCAATACAATACTTGCAGTTTAGAATTATTACAGTAACAAACATTATTTTCAGATAAACAAAGCATAGAAGGTTCGATAAGACCAACAATGAAAAAAAAAGCTAAAACAGTTTAGAGAACCCATACAAAAGTTCAGTCAAGATAACAGATAATCATTCCAAACCAAGGATATGATTAAGTCCTTGAACGAAAGTAACTATGAGAGGTTGCCAGCAGACGAGATAGCGGATCCAATCTAGCAGCTGACCATAGAATAGATGCGGTTTCTCCCAACTAGAAATAATCGTTGAGAAATGTGTTAATATTGGGCAGATAATCAAAGAATGAGCGATAGTGTAGAACGAATGAAGTGAGGGAAAACAGTGAAAATGATAGTAGCTGAGATGAGCAGAAAGCTACATATAGAACACTTACGGATTTTTGAACATCCTTTTGAGGTCGACTTTCTCTTTGCAGTACGGGCACGTTTGCAGTTTCCCGACTACACACCAACCGCGAATGCAAAATTCATGGAAAGTATGACCGCATGACAACCTGAACATGAACAGAATAGTGAAAAATGGCTAAGAATGTGCAGAAAACTGTAGAGGAAAAGCAGCGGCACTAACCTATAAGTCTTCTCCTCTTCAGCTTCTTCATCGTCCGTATCGCTGACGTTCGCGACAAGGCGATTATCACACACCGCACAGACACCGTCATCTAAGTGCTTCTTGGGTAGACCATCGTGAGTGAAATACTGAAGCACATTGTTTTCATAATAATCAAATAATCGCGAGTGTTTGTAATATTTGGAGGCAGATAAAAAAAAGTACGAGACTCAATGAAAATCAAGATAATGAGATATGCGCAAATGGACTTCTAATATGCAAATGTGAATTAGATTATTTGACGGGAAAGAAAAAGCAATGAGTATTTGGAAGATATATCTGCATAAATTGAACAATCTAAAATTCTTTAGCGGCAAATGAAGGCATGCTTCAAAACACTGCGGAATGGTCTTCGCTCTGCGGAAAAGTCTGTTAGCGTCTTCATTTGCAAGAGTAACAGAATTTATTCACATGCAAATAACCAAATATTGACTTGTTAGAGCGAGGAGGATCATAGATTTGCAGTTCATGTATCTATGTGATATGATTATGCAGTCTACGATCATAAAATGATAAGAGGTGACCACATATTATAAATCTTGTGACAGAACTAACTCCTATCTTGCAAGCCATTCTATCAGTGCAAATATGAGCAAAATCGCGGCCAAGAACTCCATAATATAAACCATAAAACAGCAGAAGGATCCCTAAAGATGATTTGAAGAGAAAAATTTTACTCAAGTCAGTGGTCTCACCTGCATCCATGCATGTAGTCGATTGTAGTCCAAAGATAAAATTTAGTCCCATGAGTGTAAATATCATTATTATGTAGCCAGCTATTCCCAAAACATAGCTCAGCTTATGAAGAAATAGAAACCATTTATAAACAAGTCTGAAATGCGATCACAACTATTTGAACATGCACATGAGCACAAGATTGCAGTGTTTGGGTAGAAATTTGCCCGACAATAGATGCGGAGATGATTCAAATCGTTGCTATGCAGAACTCATCAAAAGATGTTCTGAATTATGCAGAGCTTATGCGCAAGCTTGATGAGGCCAACCAAGGGAAGCAGAACGAGAGGCAAAAGTTTTGATCGACCTAACAAATAAATTTCCTTGATAAACTGCATAGCTTGCAGCGAAAATTGCGACCAGTTTCCAAATTCCATGTAGCAAACGTAGGAAGCCGACTAGACAGATTCGCCGAAACTGGCGAGTGTCTCTTTGGCTACTATGGCATGAAAAGCTTTAGCTTGAATAAACCCATTACATTCCAAGCTTACTTCCAGTCAGTAGCCTAGGTAAAGGAGATAAGAATAGACCACTTAGTATACAGCCAAGAAAAAGAAAAAAAAAGATGTAACAACCATCGACCCGCCAACTAAAGCAACACCAATGAAACCGTATTACCTCGGAGTTGTTCCGCTTATATGATCTTCAGTGGATTTTCGCCATATCCAAGTTGAGCATATGGTGTATATTACCCAAGTCACGAGAAATCTATACCAACTACGAGATAAACATACGTACACGGGAATCAGCCACATGCCCAGTAACGTACACAGCTAAAACGAAAGAATTAGGACAAGTGAAAGAAACCAAAACGAGTAAGAAGAAAGTCGTACAAACAGACTTGGTAAGATTTAAAATGTCTCTTCTTCCACTGCACCAAGAAAACTTGAGCGACCACAAGAGTTACGATAAGTATTAGCATCATTTCCAGATGCATTTGTTCATGTCCCTTATGTTTTTCGTGCAACTTTGCATGTTCGATTGCCCACTCTTCTTGTTCGCTCAACGTTCTCCTCATCTGTACAAAAAAGGAAATAAGCTCGCTTAAAGATAAGAATCAACAGAAATGACTGCATCAACACAATAGTGCTCACCTCCGGACCAACGTCATGTTGCAGTACCACGCCACCAAATTCATCACGATGAGCGAGCACAACCTGCTCGTCTTTGTTGCCCATAGCTGAAATAAGGTTCATGTCGCAGTGTAAAAGACAACCACAATTCAGCAGACATTGCCGAATTCGAGAAAGAGAATGCTGTACTGTACAAAAATGAATACACAGGACTATACACGATATAGTCGACTAATGGCTGTTGTAAAGTCAGGAATGGCAACAATTTATACCACAGGGGTGAAAATCTTGAACAGGTCTCTTAACTGAACAGTCGGCACAGTATGCCAGAGTTAGCCAATGACAAAAAGCAAGAGCTTCCACTCGCAAAGTGCGAAAATTAATTCCGCACACCAAGGCAGATACTCATCAGCTTCTGAGAAGAAAACGTATGAAATGAAGTAGTGATTCATTCCCTTGAGTCTGATGTACTTTAAAAAGCTGTAACACTTGTCTCACTTGCTCAAAATCTTTGGTTTCGATGAACGAATGGAATCAAACAAATTGTCGCAGAGATCCGAGCTTCCCCATTGAGATTTGTGCGGTAGATCTTTCGTACATTGAGTTAGGTGATTATAACCTTCACACACTCTAATTTTTTGACAAAAGAGGGTTCCATGAATGCATGACTATTTTTTGACTATATAACCCAGCATCTGGACATCTTCGATTGTGCTAGGCTAAATGTGTGCGATTACACGTAACCTGCACATGAGAGTCAAATTATGGATTCTACTGCAGCTTTTTCCAGAAATCTTGTTCTAATGTTACCAGAAAAGATGTTAATTTAGCGTAAAGTACTAAAAGAGTATCTGCGTTGAGAAGTGTGTCCCAAAAGCCAAAAAAGTTTTAAAGAGCCGGGCATACATCAAGCGATTTTGTCGCATCGCGATTCTTCCGTTAGTCTACGGAAGACAAATGTTACGAGTTCGTTGCATGCCAATCATCTTGCATTTCGGTTGTGATAGTTAGTCGCGATTAGTCGTGTTGGAAAACTACCACAACCGAAATGCAAGATGATCGGCAAGCAATTGACACCTGATTTAATTGTCTTGTCGGGAGAATCGCGAGGCGATTAAATTACATCATGTATGCCCAGCCCTCAGATCATATGAAATTGCCCGATGAGCACTCGAACAATCATCTAAAGTAGAAACGCCCATAGTTGACCCACAGTTGGATTCGAGAATTTGTTGAGTCATGGCGAAAGCACACTCACCTATCTCGCATTTTTCAAAAACACAACTCCCCACACAATAACGCTCTTGCGATTTGCATGGAAGTTTTTGTGGCGTATGGAACCTGTCACCCACGATCTCATGGAAGCGAACATCTACTACTTTTCGCTTTGCTTTCTCACGCAATGATAATGAATGGAGAGCCAACAAATTAACAAGGGTATGATAGTAGGAGATCGTAACTACATAGCAGATATATCGGATTAAAAGCTGAACATTTAAGCGGTAAGCTGCTAAAAGCCTCAAAGGATACAACCAAAACCACCCCTGATACAGGATTTAGCTGACGTCGTCGACGAAATTGGATGATGGAGGAATTACGATTTACGCTTGCAACGAAATTGCCGCTGGCGATAAAGCGTCGTTCGGCCATGCGTAGGTAGAAATTGTCATCCCAGCTGGTTTGTGATCGAGCAACCAACGACCATGCACTTTTCTTATTTGCCTCTTTTTCCTCAGCTGAGCATGTGACAGTCTACTCAGTGTTCCCTTTTTTTTATGTAAAATCAGCCAAAACTCTCCATTACTCTTTTTAGAATTTCAATCTCTTCCGAGTAATGGAAGAAGATGTGAAGGAGGACAAGAAAAATCAGAGTGCGTCCGCTCAGCCTTCTGCTGAAAAACCCAGCACATCTAAAAAGGAAGATGACAATGCCAGGTGAGTCTTACGTATTCTTTTTCCAGGGATCGAATAGTGTGTTCACATAACTATTCCATTTTGCTTACAAACTCTTCACAATGATTCTGTTACCGCACATTTTGCCGCTCTATGTTCTTCAATTTCTTTTCTTTCGTAAGTGTCAAGTAACGGTTTTGTTATAGACTTCGTTTCTGCGCGCGTTACATTTATGATAGACCTACTACATTTAGCTTGAATAAGTGGTTTAGTTGAAGTTTAGGTACAGAAATTTACAGAAATCAAAGCAAAGCAATTAAACTCCCAACAGATAACGTAATTATTTGAGTATCGGAACATTCGAATGAAATAGTTGATTTGATTACCTGAAAAATCAAAAATATGAATTTAATCTATAATCATTCATTCGATGATTTTGGTGTGATTATAAGTATTATCAAGGGTTATTCCAAGTCAGAATATCCACTTCTTTTGCCATCCTTCAACCGACTATCAAATGGTATTCCAGTGTTTGCACTATCTCCAATGGGCTCAAGTAAACAGATCTGAATAAGGGACTACTTGAATGAAATTTCATTCAAGATCTGTTGGTTCAAGATTTTCGAACTTCAAACGTGTCACTCGACTAGAATTCGAAAACTTCATTTCTACACTTTCTAAGCTTTGGATATGTTAGGTGATTTGTTTTAGTTAGATCTAATATATGCACTCGCAGCTCTAAGATGCAGGGATTAGCATTGGAAGACATCATTGAGTGGCGTCAGGGATTATCGAGGAGGCAGAATGAAAAAGGGGAGTGGAATAGAATTCACGGAATGCATTTTCAAGTATTAAGGATAACTTTCCATAAAGTACCTGATAGTCATTCCATCTGCGTTCAGTGTGCGCGTCCCCTTAGCTCCTGTAGAGAATCTCAGGCAAATTCATGATTTATATGTAAAGATGTATACCGTAAATTGTATATCCGCTAGTTACCAAGTTTCCGCACAATTTGATGCTTGGAAATGGCATGTAATTTTTTGAATCAAGATATCATGAAGCGTTCAAATTTTCCTCTGCTTGCAGTTACTAATTTGCTAAGGCACAATCGTTTTTTTTCTTGAGGACACTTTTCGAAACAGAAGGATCCGTCATTTCATTAGGTCTTTCTAGCTCTCCAGTTTAGGTTTGAGTGCAACATATGTTTGGACACGGCAAAAGATGCAGTGGTCTCAATGTGTGGTCATCTATTCTGTTGGCCGTGCCTAGTTCAATGGCTAGATACGCGTCCAAATCGGCAACTTTGTCCTGTATGTAAAGCTGCCATCAGCAAAGACAAGGTAACTTCTGAACTTTGGCTTTTGTCGATGATTTTTACCGATGAAGTAATTGTTTAGGTAATTCCTCTGTATGGTCGTGGAGGCGATAATACTGATCCCCGCGAAAAGGTGCCCCCTCGTCCTCGTGGTCAACGGACTGAAGCACCACAGGTATTTTTTTAAGTGATGAGAAGGAGCTGAGAAATTTATGCTTAGATGCGTTTTCACCAGAAGTAGATTGGCATTGCTAATTTTGATAAAGGCATTATTGTACTACAAATATAACAATTTTTTGGTGACGTCGCGAGTTTTTTTGAAGCACTGTATGAGTGTAGAATGTGCAAGTGACTTGTTCCTACTTGTAAAAAATTGAATTAGCTTTTGTAAATAGAGTTTTCGGGGTTTTCAGAACTTTCGAGGTTATAAGCCCATTTGAATTTTGGGAAGCATCCAAGAAAATTTCTCAGAGGGCGCGTCGTCACTGATAGCATCCTGTGTGTTCATTTCCACAGATTTTATTCAAAAAATGTTTTTAAGCAGGGATTTCCGGGCTTCCAATGGGGAGACGGTGGACCTGGAGGTGGCGTGCAATTTTCTCTTGGAATAGGTGAGTGCGTTTCGTTTTTATCAGATTTGTCGTTTACGTCATTACGTTTAAATTTCATTTGAAAAGAAAGAGAATTTTCTCTGATAAATCTAACATTCACAACCACGGAGTGTCAAAGTCCGTGACCACAAACCTTTTCGGTATGCCACGAAAATCTATTATTTTGCATTCTTTACGACGGGAGAATCAAATTATGATTTTTTTGAACTCCTAACATAAGAAAGTGATCATAAGCATTTCATACTGTATCTGCACGGCATTTCTAAGGTACTTTGTATAGAATCGCGTGAACTTTAGCAGTCTTAGTAAATCGCAGATCATGCTGAACTTTGCGAGGGTATATAACTACATTACCAACCATACATAATTCGAAGAACTCCATCGGAGTTCACCGAAATCTGCGTCGCATCGCCATATCTTGGTTGAGAGTGGATTTGTTCTGAATTGAGGGCATTGACTCAGCTCGATGAGGCGCATCTTCTGATATATAGAACCGATCGTTTGAATACGATAGGTGCACGGTACATGGTCAGATTTCACGATTTCTTTTTAGATATTTGCTCACGATTACTCTATGTGCTTATGCACACACCCTTAGGCAAAATGTTGTGAAATCTGACCGTCTACCGCATCCAAACCGGCATTTTGATATGTCAAAAAATGTTCCTCGCCAATCTGAGTCGAACGATGTCCTTGGATTGAAAATTCAACCACTCTGGATCAAGGCATGGCAATGCGACCCGGATTTTGGTGACTTTTTGACGAAATTTGAGCAATATTGCATGTAAAAATACACGTTCTACATTGTACAGTCTACCGGAATAAGAAGGGTAAGCACAAAATCTCAGCAATTGAAAATTGCTGTTATTCTATAGAGGTACTCCACTGACAGCCTATCCTAACATATCTATAGTTTTGGTTTTAGGAGTTTTTCCTTTATCTTTCTTCACGACATGGTTCAATGCTCCGCAAGACCCTCGGCCGGCTCCACCACAGCAAGGTTCCCGTCAATATCAGGAAGAGCAATTTCTTTCTAACATGTTTCTGTATCTTGGCGTCTTCTTCGTTTTATGGCTTGTCTTTGTATAATCATACCCTCGTCTTTGTGTTCGCACGGGCGTCGCAGTAACTAATTTCAAATTCGTATTGAAAGATCTATCATCTAAAAATTAACATTATATTTCATGTATGTCTGCATACCCACTGAAGAAAGCTCATACATCTTCTCGTAAACCTGTCCAGGTCAGAACAGTAGGAAGCAGACAAATATTCAAATAACCGCAACTGAAACCATCTTAATGGGAACTCGTACATAAGAGGAAATTCTATCGCTTGTTGTGAAAATTTGGAACGAATACTACTCCACAATACTCTTATCATCGTCGCGTTCCAGATTCTCGAGACAGAGTGTTATTATTAGTGCCCTAACATTGTGGCCAGGTTTCCATGGTACTTTTAACACATCAAAATCAAGAATTTTGAAATAATGATTGTGCCAAGCCATCGCAGAGTTACAGAAGAGTTTAGCACTGCTGTGGCAAGGTTTGATTTGACTATCGACGACCTGCTTTTCTAAAAGATTCGAACTAATGTTAGCGGAATCATTCGAAAAAAAAAACTCGATGTATTAGGGGTACTGGATTATGATCGAATGGGTCTGAGGTATTCGCTCGAGGCAATACATTGATTGTTTGAATATTTTCGAAACCCAGTTCTGCCACTTCTGCTTATTCGAATAATCGGACTCACAAAGTGAGTATGAAGATACCTCGAAGTCGAATATGTTCGACTGCTGCTAGATGATGACCAGATTATTTTCGCTTACGTAATTCCATCGGATTTAGCATTTGCAGCCTATGGCGCGCTCTGTATGCAGAAATTACTTACAAATTACTTACGGTACTCAGTGTCCGTGGCTTTTTGAAATAAAATGTATACCATTATACTTGCCTTCGAACGCTGATTGCGAATCTGACTTCCGTTTCTGCTGAACGTTTCTCTGAAAGAAGTTATGAAGGATTTTCGCACCAAATTTGCCCTATATAGATATGATAGGAACACCAATACCGCCGGTAGTTGTAGTGTAGTGGCTAATGCGTTAGTCTCACAAGCTGATGCAGATGTATGTTCAGATTCCTTTGTATTTTTCAGTTTTGCATTGCCTCAATTAAGCTTTTTGAGGGTTAGATTTCCTCGAGGTAAATGCGTGTCCTTCCCCTTTAAAAATTTAACGAGGAGTCATTTTTATACGAGTATTTCCTATATTTATTCCAAGGGGTGCCTATAAAAATGAAAATGATCGGAAAATGAATGCACATTGACATGTTACCATGTCGGTGTTCCTATCGTATGTGCCTCGCGCTGCCAAATTTGGCCCGAAAATCCTTCATAACTTTTTTCACAGAAACGTTCAGCAGAAACGAAAATTAGATTCGGAATCAGCGTTTGAAGGCGAGTGTATTGGTATACATTTTATCTCAAAAGGTCACAGACACTAAGTATCGTTGTATGGACTATGTTGTTAGTGTTATGGACTATGTTGTTAGTATTGTTATGGATTTTCAGGCAATGAACTCTACGTTTTGATGGTAATTGCAGCTCACAACTACCTAATATCTATTACTACCATTAGCCGTCAGCAGATTGGAAGTTCGCGGTCAACATACGACTGAACATACTTCAGAAATAACAACGTGGCGTAGTAGAGCTTTCTTGTTCCATACTTAGGTAACCTTTGATTCAATTAGCTTGGCTTTTGGAAGGCGGGGCTTTGTAACCTAATTAAGGCCACTTGCGCCCGCGCGCATGCTCTATGACCATAACTTAGTCTTAATTAGGTCACGAAGCATAGGTGCGATAGGGGGAGCCGGGCTCTCCCCAGGTGAAGGGGGTCTCGGCTGTTCCCTACCTTCCAGGGTGAAGGGGGTATCTGAGTCTGGGGGGGGGGGGGGGGAAGAGAGAAAAGGTAAAAGAGCGTGGTATGAAGAGCTCTAATTTGCACCTTATTTAGGCACAAATTGAAAAAAATTTAGAAGAATTTAAAAATTTAAAGAAAATTGATTATGAAGATCTGTGCTCCTGTTTCGCTGCATCAACAAAAAACGAAAGCAATAATGTTTATCCCAGAAGATGTACAAGTTAGGAACAACTTCACTTCCTGAACATCATCATCAACAATATCACTATCGCTAACGTCAGAGACAACAAGTTCGCTGCCTGAAAAATCTTCTTCTTCCTCCAAAAGGTCATCGGAGTAGAAGTAGAATTGCGTGCAAAAGCGTTCTGAGTCGAAAATGGATTTAAAACTTTCTTCTTCTTTTACACGCTTTTGTGATTTTTTCCTCCTCTGGTAGCACCAGGAAGTTAGCAGGTAGGTGACCAGTTTCTTCATACCATCTTTTAGGATATTTCAAAAAGTCATACGGTAACAGCCTGTCTAGACCACTTACACCAATCCTTCAAATGAAGTTTTTAGATAACATTGTTTTTCGTAGAAGGTTGACAAATCTTAAGTATTTGCTCAGATGCTCTATCGTTGTAGAATTCTGCATTGTGTTGTGATAACAGAGTAGATAGAAAATTTCTTTCCCCACCTCTGCCGTGCTAGTCGGAATGGAAACTAGCTTTGCTAGTAGGTCCATCAGATTTTTGCGGTAAGTAATGGGAAAGGAGCCAGGTCTCGTATGCTTTCGCAACACGGGAAGGATAGTGCACACTTTTTGGGCCTTGTCGAACTTTGGCTTCACCTTTTCTGGCATACGTCCTGTTAGCTGATTATAAAGCTGCTCAACTTCTTCTTTAACAGCATCTGCGGAATAGCCGAAAAAAGGAGGTACTATGCTGCGCGTTAGTTTTTTTTCAATATCATAGGTCATAATGTCACAAGGCGAATAACTTCCAAAAGCATAAAGCACAGAGTTGGGTTCGCACTCCAGCCGGGATCTAAGTGCAGTAACTATGCTTTGTACTAACACCTTCCTTTTGTTCATATCCATGTTTGTGAATTTAACAGCCTTGAATTCTTCAGCAACCTGAAGATCAGCAATGGACTTCCTGGACGTTTCCTCATTGAAACTAGACAATCTGCTTGGATTCCTTATGCAGGAAATCAGAGAGTATCGCTCAATTGCCAACTCTGTATCAATGTCTACAACATTTTCGTCGACGTTGATTCTCCTTCTGCCTCGCTGTTGAACTGGAACACATGCGAGTCATCTGCGATTTTGTAAAGTATTCTTCCTGCCGTTTCCTCTTCAAACTGCCAACCTTTCCAAAACATTGAGGGATATTTTAATAACATGTTATTCTTCTGAATGTCTAAAAGTTTTTGATTCATTGAAACCAACCATTCTCTACAAATTAGGTAAGGTAAGTCTAAAGCGTTTTCACGAAAGTGACCTTCTTCAGCACTAGGTTTACAGAGTATAGATTCCAGAAATGGGCGGGTTTTTGTGTGAAGATGTGGAAATTCACCAATCTCCCATAGTTTTTTGAGTGTGTGCTAATAATGATGGCATAACTGTCAATCAAAAGCGCATTTTTTACCAAAAAAAACATAAACATATAACAACGATAAGCGCGCTCCAATAGACGAGTTCGCTCACGTTCCCGTTAATGCTGATAACGATGTCAATCCACAGCACATTTTTTACTATTGACTCGCTCCACCTCGCTCTTATTAGGTCGTCCAGAAAGTTTTTGCACATGAATTTTAAAATTCATAACTTCTAATTTTTCCAACCGATTTGACTGCTTTCACTTTTATATGAAAGGGTAAGTCATGCTCTTTATAATAACATCTCAGCTGCTTAGTAATGGTCATCTGTTGCATAGATAGGAGCGATAGAAGAAAAATGGTAAAAATTTTAATTTTCTGTGTAGGGTCATAAAAAATCGGGACTTGCAACAAAAATCGGAGCAGTCAGTACTGTAGGTTCTTTCACCAGCTCTTTCTAACAGTGCAAAGTTTGCGCCGATTGAGCGTCTCCATGAAAAGTTATGATTTCCCCGAAAAATGCCAAAATAAATCAAATTCGCCTTTTGTACTGCTTGCTCAGAAATTATAACTCTACGTAGAAACGCTCAATCGGAGCAATCTTTGCACTGTTAGAAAGAGCTGGTGAAAGAACCTACAATACCGACTGCTCCGATTTCGTTGCAAGTTTATTTTTTATGACCCTACACAAAAATTCAAATTTTGAGTGATTTTGTTTTGAGCTTCTATCTATGCAAAAGAAAACGACCATTACTAAGCAGCTGGGATGTCATTATAATGAGCATGACTTATTCTTTCACATAAAAATGAAAGCAGTCAAATCGGATGGAAAAATCAGAAGTTATGAATTTTTGAAAATCGTGCGCAAAAACTTTTGGGACGACCTATACAATGTGTTGGCTCTTATGGGTCACCGAAGCAAATGATTTTTAGAGCCGGGAAGCAAAGAAGCCCTTACATGCTGTATACCATTCGAAAGCTGAGATCATGGAGAATCGACGTAGACCGTCGACTTTTTTCTAGGTCTTCTGTGCCGCGAGATATGAGGGATTTTATGTGCTTCAAAAATTAACTGATTTTGTGTCCTCACTTTCTGCTCTCCAAATGAATGCTACGAGAAAGTCGACGGTCTACGTTTGTTAATGAAGACTTGCTCTTTAACACAGTTAGATAAACAGCAGTGATTAGGTCTTTATTTGGCAGAAATCTGCTGTTGAAAATGACCATGTTTTCAGATAAAATGCGGTGTATCTCTCGGTAGAGGGGGGCTAGAAAGAAGTCGACGGTCTAGGTCGAATCCCCTTTTCCTGAGCTTTCGAATGGTATATAGGTTGCTGGGCGAAAAAACGGACCAGTTTTCAAAAATGGGGTGGAGATATTTACTATTAGCTTGCTCCAATCCGTCTCCACCAATGTATTGGCTTTTATCGGTTACCGGAGAAAATGATTTTTAGAGCCGGGAAGCAAAGAAGCCCTTACATGCTGTATACCATTCGAAAGCTGAGATCATGGAGAATCGACGTAGACCGTCGACTTTTTTCTAGGTCTTCTGTGCCGCGAGATATGAGGGATTTTATGTGCTTCAAAAATTAACTGATTTTGTGTCCTCACTTTCTGCTCTCCAAATGAATGCTACGAGAAAGTCGACGGTCTACGTTTGTTAATGAAGACTTGCTCTTTAACACAGTTAGATAAACAGCAGTGATTAGGTCTTTATTTGGCAGAAATCTGCTGTTGAAAATGACCATGTTTTCAGATAAAATGCGGTGTATCTCTCGGTAGAGGGGGGCTAGAAAGAAGTCGACGGTCTAGGTCGAATCCCCTTTTCCTGAGCTTTCGAATGGTATATAGGTTGCTGGGCGAAAAAACGGACCAGTTTTCAAAAATGGGGTGGAGATATTTACTATTAGCTTGCTCCAATCCGTCTCCACCAATGTATTGGCTTTTATCGGTTACCGGAGAAAATGATTTTTAGAGCCGGGAAGCAAAGAAGCCCTTACATGCTGTATACCATTCGAAAGCTGAGATCATGGAGAATCGACGTAGACCGTCGACTTTTTTCTAGGTCTTCTGTGCCGCGAGATATGAGGGATTTTATGTGCTTCAAAAATTAACTGATTTTGTGTCCTCACTTTCTGCTCTCCAAATGAATGCTACGAGAAAGTCGACGGTCTACGTTTGTTAATGAAGACTTGCTCTTTAACACAGTTAGATAAACAGCAGTGATTAGGTCTTTATTTGGCAGAAATCTGCTGTTGAAAATGACCATGTTTTCAGATAAAATGCGGTGTATCTCTCGGTAGAGGGGGGCTAGAAAGAAGTCGACGGTCTAGGTCGAATCCCCTTTTCCTGAGCTTTCGAATGGTATATAGGTTGCTGGGCGAAAAAACGGACCAGTTTTCAAAAATGGGGTGGAGATATTTACTATTAGCTTGCTCCAATCCGTCTCCACCAATGTATTGGCTTTTATCGGTTACCGGAGAAAATGATTTTTAGAGCCGGGAAGCAAAGAAGCCCTTACATGCTGTATACCATTCGAAAGCTGAGATCATGGAGAATCGACGTAGACCGTCGACTTTTTTCTAGGTCTTCTGTGCCGCGAGATATGAGGGATTTTATGTGCTTCATATATCAACTGATTTTTTGTCCTCACTTTCTGCTCTCCAAATGACTGCTACGAGGATAAATAAATAACATAAATAAACATAAAAAACGTTTCTTTTGTAAATTCATAAGTATTCTTGTTGTTTGAGGTACTTGGCCTGCAAAACCTTTTAATAACGATTTTTATCATATTTTCAGAGTACAATACCACTCTCAGCCCAGGTGAAGGGGGTCATCGGGAGTCTGGCCTCAAAGTGAAGGGGGTAAGATCCATCACTCCCCCTATCGCAACTATGTCACGAAGCCCCGCCTTCCAGCCGCCAAGCCAGTTAAATCAACGAGTAGATCCAGTCAGTTACGAGTAGATAAAACGTAAAATTGCTATCGTGTACGTTTGCATATGCAGTGATACTATGTTGGCTTTGATAAAAGACAAATACCTATCCATACTACCCAATACCTATGCTTCAGCAAGTTACAATGTAAGATGGTTCGAACTTACGGTTTATAAATATAACTCAGCTTTTATAAAGTATATTTCACATACATCATCCTCGCCAAATGAGTACAAATACATCCGCAAAACTCAGAATGAACCGACACAATCGAGTAGATCTGCCCGCTAGGGTATGCCTTTCGCAAAGCGAATGCTCTTTTTTTTCTTTTTTTTTGGAAAACTCTCCAAATTTTTCGCAATCTATTTTAGGACGACTTTGACGAAAGAAGAACTGCCGGCAACCGCGGATCCAAAACATATCTATAAAGCTAGTTTGAAACTCAAAAATTCCTGAGAAATATTGGTTATTTGCGAAGTTCACTAAATGCCCTTGCGACCAGCCACTCGATCGCTTTTGCTGATGTGTCGGTACATGCATAGTATGGAAACAAACAATTTCAGGTCCTCCCTAAACCCGCCGGTTATGTGATGAAAACGTGATTTAATCATCTGCTTATAGCGAAATACACAACTATAGCAACAATAGCTATAATCCCTGCCAAAGCTATTAGTAATGTCCAGATTGAGCCGATATCATTGTCTTTTGGCCTAAAATTCACGACCGGTGTGTCATCAAGCGGTGCTCGCACGGTCTCCATCTCATTTATCTCGAGACTTCGCTCCCATCCTTCATCGATATGCTCTAAATCATCAACAGTGATTATAAAAACAGTACAGGGGAGATAAAGCTGCTGCTGCTAATTTGCGCATTCCTTCGCAAAACAGAAACACTCTCAGTAAGCTGCGGCAGTTTTGTATGATTCTTGAGTCTCCACAAATTTTCGACTTTGCTTCAAATTTCTATTGCGAGCCTATCGTATTTCAAAAAAGTGCCAAGAGTCCGGCAGTGACTTATATGCCAGACGAAAATTTGAGATGTATTAAAGAGACGCAAGTAATGAGGAGCCCCTATTCGCCAACCCCTTCACATAATCAAGCACAATTCGAGACTTTGAGCTCAAAGGCAGTGTCCCGGCAAATTTCGCTTTCCGGCCTTTCACCTTTTCGGAGACTTTCCGTCATGCTGAATCCATATCTGGGCTTCTCAGCGCATGAAAAAGGCTAAAATGAGCTTCTCTATGTTCTCCAGGTCCGCGATCGCTCAAAATCACGTGTAAGCGGGCAGGGTCCGGAAACTCTCAGTAGGCTGCGACAGTTTTGTATGATTCTTAAGTCTCCACAAATTTTCCAATGTGGATTCGAGGCCTTCCAAATGCTACAAACCTCACTGCTAGATTGTTTAGGGTCTGCTGATGCAACACAGTGGAATCTCAATGCTCATGACTTTGCCGGAACGCTGCCTTTGAGCCGTATTGGCACCGTGATTTCATCATAAGGTACCGTCGCGTTGCTGGTGGTAGATTGCGAAGCACGCACCGCGCGGCCGAAACTTTGTACAACTACAAATCGCTGTAGAAGTCGTCTAGTCTACCAATGAAATTTCAGGCGCGCCGCGCGTGCTTCACAATCTACCCCAGTCCGCGCGGTCGACGACTTGACTATACCTCTAACAGTGGATAAGCTCGCGGGAGGTCAACCAAGTCCTGTGAGCGGAGTCAGTGTTTCATGCAAAACTCATTATGATGAATGGAATGCTTAAGATCACCTTTTAACGCATAATTTAGCGGCTTCCAAAAATGATTTTGATGTATGCTATCACAACTGCAACAGATAAACATTATGGAAAATGGTGCAGAAAGAATATCTTGGAAATAATCAACATGTTAGATATCCCCCCCCCCTCAAAAACGCTCTTAGATTTGAGAGACCACAACTTGATTTTTGGAATGGCGCTGAGTAGTGTAGCGTAATCACAAAAAGAGCAAAGAGGACTGTAATTACGGGTGATGTCGTATAGCGTAGGTGATTGCGCAAAAAATGATCTATTATTGATTAAGTGTCCAAACATAGATAATGAGGTAGTAAAAGAATCCTTCTAACAACACTGGAACTCACCGACACTAGTTTTTAGTCCCAACAACTCGTCAAAATTCTTCTGAGCATCTTCAGTTGTGTCTGCCTCGAACAGATAATCCGAAAGGAGGATTGCTGGATGATTGGGAAGTACAGTGGTAGCCGGTCGCGGCATCTGATGCACAGAACATGGTGCTGCGCTGCCTTCTTCGACGATCTCCATTGATTCGTACTGAAGCTCTAGAACATACATATCCAATGAGTTAAGAAGAAGTCAACAAAGTACCTGCTCTTGCAGTCAAGCTCCTCAGCAAGTGGTGCTTTACCGCATCCACAACTGCTTCTACTTTTGATCGAGACGGAACAGCGGCACGGATCTTACAAAAACATGTTCTATGAAGCAACGGGCTAGCTCAAGTTGATAACTACGATGCACTGACAACATAAAGGAATGCTTTAGAACTGCTAACGATAAGTGAAAAACCTTACCTCGATATCGAAAGAGACCTCATGAAGATTGGTAGCTTGCTGTGTTTCACATATGTTCTCCTTGTTCTCTTTGTCTTCTGAATACGGATGGTCGTGTCTTCCAAGTATCAAACCTAAAACTACTCACCCCATGTGTCTATGAACATCTGCACTTCCACCGAATCTGCCTTTTTCTTCTTCAAGTCTTTGAAAAGTTGTTCGGAGCCGTCGCGTACTTCCCCATTGATCAAGATCTAGAAATTCTTGAACTGAAGAAAATACGTGCTCTCTCTTCCTCCATTTCAAAGTTAATATTACAATTAGCTAGACTGAACTGACCATTTTGATACTCATGTTATTCCCTCTCAAAACTATGTGCGAAAGTTCTCAAAAACAGACATCAGTCAAAAAAGAGAGTGGTTTTGCTGATTATGAACAATCACATTTAGCTTCCACTTGCAGTGCCAAAAGTCGTAGTGCTCTTTCTCAACGACATGCATACGTCACAATTTCCAAAACATATTGCTTTGAGAATACAAACATGATACGAAAGTGCATACTCCAATGCATTCATCAACTAGACAAAGAAGGGAGGTGATCTGCATCCAAAGCCTAAGCTCAAAGAAATCACTGGTTATGGCTGAAGTTTTCCACAGAGAGGCGATTGTAGATCTAGTTCTGGATAAAGACCGAAACTATACCAATGAAGCAAAATTACATAAAGTGAATGAACAGCGCACTGAGAGATTCGGGAAACAGAAAGTGCAAAAACCATGAAGACAAAAGCTAGGCGACTGCAACAAAATGCAGAAAAAAAATTGATAAAAGCTGTCAGTAAACACACCAAACAAAAACCATGTTTGAACATATACTTAACCAATTAGCTTACCAGAGGACAGCTCAAAAGATTTTGAGCAAATGGTCTAACTGAAGCGAGAAATTCCGTGAAAAAGTGGGATTGCTTCGTTCTTGTAGGCACGTTGAAGCAAATTCTGGCAGCTGCATTCGATATAACAGATACCCACTCGAGCTAAAACTGCAATAAATGTAATCGAGGAATGATCACCAAAACACACAAAGTTTGGATCAATCAACCTGAATTGGCAATCACTCATTGTTAAAGTAAGCTTTTCTCCAATTTGGTCACGAAATTCATCTCACTCTTACGGAGCTGGCCAGGATCCAAGCAACGATAGCAAACAAAGTAAAAGCGCTTTTAGCTATGGAAACGATTGCGTAAGACCTACCGCACTGAAAGACACCTTTGTAGGCGAGTCTGGACCTCTACGTACTATATCGATGACCAGTCCAGATGGCTTACCATTCGGCGACTCAACAAAGACCAACGCCTTGAAATATATGTGAATGTTTGGGCCTCTAGCGAAGATCTTCTTACCATGTGGTCTGACACTGAGCTGAGACTCAGTGTAGTTAGCAGATTGTTAGTTCGCTGAATCCTACCCAGCGCTCTTGTGAGCATCGCTTTCTGCTCATTATAAAGCTTCCTCTCGGATAGCCATAGTAGCCCTTGAAAGAAGCTGATAAGATATGATCCTCTCGAAAGACTAAATAGCTATGTTCCTGTACAATGGCCGTAATCATTGACACTTGAGGTAAAAACATGCCTTGAGAGTGCATACCCGTACTCACAACTCACAAAGTATATTTAATCTCAAGGCTAAAACGTATATGCCATGAAGTAGATCAACCCCAAAACGCCACAAATAATTCACGAATGTAACTCCAGGTAAGAATCTCAACGTAATGTAAATGCACTAACTCAAAGAACTCCGAGGTTAGTTACTTGATCCATGCTAAGGTTTAATTCACTATGAATTTGTATCTCCATTGAGATTGATTTGAGACAAATGACTCGAGATTCTCGAGTCAGTTTGTCTTAAGATAGGTGTCTTAAGGTATATCTTACCCCTTATCACTGATTACGGTTTTGTGATTAGCTAGGGTTGATCTATACTTCAAAGTCTGTTTTACCCTTGAGGTTAAACAAACCTTGTGCTTTGTGAATACGAGTATACGGCCTTTAAGTATGCTTGGCCTTTAAAGGCAGTGTCCAGGCAAAAAGTCGATTTTGAGATTTTGTGCTTACCCGACTATTCGCTATGCTGAATCCGAAAATCCACATGGAGAGCGCAAAAAGACGAAAAAGGGCTCTAACGCAGGAGGGAAATCGCAAGTGGGAGGGGTCTTCCCCATTATGGATTCACGGTCCCAGCTCCCGGAGCAATCTTCTCGGTTCCGATTTTAAGTCACGCATTCGCACTTGGCTTGTGGAGATGTCAGGACGGCTAGCGGAATTGAAAAGATCGCTCCGAGAGCCAGGAACGTAAATTCACAGTGAGGGACGTCCACTTGGTGACTTTCCTTCTGCGTTAGAACCCTTTTTTGCCTTTTCGCGCTCTCCAGATGGATTTTCTGATTAAGCATAGCGAATAGGCCTGGGTAAGCGCGAAATCTCAAAATCGACTTTTTGTCTAGAAATGCCTTAGATTTTGTTCTTAGTCAGGCCTATTCGCTATGCTAATCCGAAAATCCACGCTGGAGAGCGAGAACGGCGAAAAAGGGAATCGAGAAGATCGTTCCGGAAGCTGGGAGCGTAAATTAATGGGGAAGACCCCCACCTGCTGATTTCCCTCCAGCGTTAGAGCCCCTTTTTCACCATTTTCGCGCTTTCTAGTGTGAATTTTTGGATTCAGCATAGCAAATAGACCCGAGTAAGCACAGAATCTTCGACTTTTTGCCCGGACACTGCCTTTAAGACATAATAGAACATGGCCACAGAAAGCAAAAAGACATACCGACAACGTGGATCCCACCCGGCAGTATTCTTGTTACTTTTTCTGCGTTATCAGCCAGCCATTCATCATCAAGAGTTCTGCTCAGGGCATCTCCAGCCTAAAACACTGTTACATGATGTCATCAACACTGATAGTGAATGGAAACGCTGACACCGTCAGTAGCAGTGGCTGGAAGCGGACAACGAGCCGCATGTGCAACATGGATGTCTCCGTCGGAACAGAATGAACCGATGAGGAAGTAGGCCGCGTAGGCGAAGTTCTCCGCTTTCTGCGATTTCTGATGAGACTTCTGTGCGGAATCCAACCACGATTCCAAGGAGCGATCGAATACGATCATTTGTTCTGAAAGCTCGATAGCAACCATGGCGAGATAAGAGTGAATGGTGAATTCTGCAGGTGAAGACAGTCATTGTTACCATGGTGATATACTATAGGAGTGAATGCTATCATTTGGAAATGCCAGCCCCACTGAAACTGAGGGTCGGCTCAAATTAGTGTTTCAGATATTATCTTTAGGATAAGGAGGGACTGAAAAAAAACCTTGCGCAGAAAACAAGTTAAGCAATGTGCTTCGTGTTGCCTACAACGTGGCCTTCCGCTAAAATGCACGATGCTAACAGAAAAGGATACAAAAGCATAGTTTAGGTCGCCAAACAACCCTTCTGCCGAAAGAATGACGAATCAAGTCAAAATTTCGTCCATGAAAACAAAACGATACCAAATTTAGAATGAACTTGGACTTATTTGATACAAAGAAGAATATCACAGCATGACATCGATGGAATAGCTCAAAGACTTCCAAAAGCTGAGTATTACAGCCAGAATTGGCTAAACAACACAAGGCAGTACTCATTGGGAAAATAGGAACAACGCTTTGGCATTCTGACGAATCAGATTACGCGCTCCAGCAGCGACCAATGCATTGCGCACAACGCGGCGCCGCGTTGTTGGCAGTTGGACGAAGCTTGCTGCGCTTCGTCCACTTTCTTAAAGGTACTGCCCAACCAAATGAAGCTGGTGTAGTTTCGATGCTGTACAGTAGCAGGACCGCGACTGAGCGATTGCTAAGCCGCGTTGCAAAAGATGACTTCCGAAGCGATTTCTCTGGGAAATACCTGCGGACGTGTCCGTCCACCCATCAATATGGGTGGTCTAAAAGTACATAATGTGTGCTGAGAGCTTCAGGTAGCTACGTAGGTCGAAAATCTGATTCTTATCATAATATAAAGATTAGAACACATTACCTCTTTCGCCCTCTTCTGCCCTCTTCTATTAATTCTCATCGGGTTCTAATCAGCTAGCTTTACCCGCGAGCTCGCTGACACCTAAAATTGGGATCATTATGGGTATTGAAAAGGGCAGGATTTTCTGAAATACTTTCTGCCATCTCTTTCTTGCTTCGTCTGTACGATTGGCTACTCAGTGTGGGTCTACGGGCTTCGTCTTATTTTCTATTAGTGTATCTCCGTATACTTCTATGTTTACTAATAGAAGAACGTTAGCATTGATAATATACAGTATGGCCTGTTTCGCCTCTACCCCTATACAGGTATCAAGAAGAGTAGACCACTCCCGAGGCTCTTCAGTAGGGAAGAGTGGCTTGAATGGAAGACTAATGGTTTGGCCTTGGATGTTGCTGTATTTATACCTCAAGGTTTATATACCATTCGGGTAGAGCAAAATAATTATGATCCACGATCTGTGACATGAAAATCAAGTTTTTGAATTATGCACTTTATAAAATGTTTAGAGTTTTTAAATGAATGAAGTTCCGGATACTTATGGAAAATACATTTATTGAAAGTGAGACGTTTTACAAATGCATTTTCAATAATATCAGCACTATAATCAAGTGCATAAAGTTTATTCATCAGAAGCAATAATCTTTGTTCAAAGCTATTGAAACTTGTGCAAGTTCTGTAGATTCTTAGGATCTCACCGTATATAATAGCTATTTTAATTTTAATACTAACATTAGAGTTTCCATGAGTATATTTATTTACAGCAAAATCAAAGTAATCAGTTTTGTTATACTGTTCTGTGTATATTCTGTTATTTTTTATCATAATTTTCATGTCAAGAAAGTTACAATTACTACTGTTTAAGTGTGTGCTTTCCAGCTCCAAAATATTATTATATGTTTTATCTAGTAAATTCAGAATGCGGTTTTCCTTTTGGTTATGAATAATCAGTAGGTCATCCGTATATCTGAAAGGTTTGAACAAAATATCAGTGCCAGGATGGTTAGAGCCGTATACGTATTCTAGGTAGGAGAGTGTTAAATCTGCCAAGACAGGGCTAGCATTGCCACCTTGTGGCACGCCTATCTTTTGTTTGAAAACGTTTTGTTTTATTTTGCTATAACTATTATCAAGCAGATATTCTAGGAAATAAATGATATCTTCTATTTTATAGCTTCTTTGTCCAGTTTTATCAGTAGCAGTATTGCAATAGTAAACAGTTCTGTCACTGCATGTTATGTATCTGAGGTCTGGCTGTTTTCTTAACTTTGTGTTCCTGAAGTTTTGTCTTTTCTTCTTTACGGCACACCTTGAGTGTATTCATAAATAAATAAAATACAATTACTTCTCTACCAGAACATTGAGTCAGGACAGCGTGTCCGCAGGTATCTAACTTTTGGAGCGTTCTCTCGCTTCGGAATTCATCTTTTGCAACGGAGATTAGGCAATTACTTAATCAGAGGCCCCCGCTATTGTACACGCAAATATCTAATCACCCTCAATTTGGGTGAAGATTCCTTCAACCTTCTGGTAGGATCAATGGAGTGAAAGAACAAAACCTCAATTAGGTACCGTCTCCGCCGACTATTGGTCCTAACCAGGGTTGAGCGTTGGGTCAGGCGCACCCGGCCTGGGGGTCGTACTGGGGGTAAGAGCAAGAGGGGAGGGGAGTTTAATAAAGGCAAATTTGTCCAAAAAATTCAGAAAATACTATGACTGAGTAGGTGATGGAGAAAAGCGCTCAACCGTAAATCTCACAACTCCATCAGAAGAGTGACTGTCGTAACAGCATGCTGATTAACTCCACCTTCAAAGTTTCAGCCAAATTTCAGTTTTTGATCTGATCTTACACAAACCGTAAGGTCACCAAAGAAGCTTTTTGTGTAAATTGGGTAAGACCGTAATCAGCATGCCAAATTATCTCAACGAGCTCTACAAACCATCATCTGTTACATTTCCTAATGTTTCCTAACGTCTAAAGCTTTTCAAACACGATTAACTTGGTCACAAAAGTGAAAGAAGTTAGCTTGTCTTCATAACGAACTATCACTCTTTATCAGCCCATGGCAGAAATTGGACTTCTATTGCTTTCAAATAATGGATTAAAGGCACCGTTCACCCAGATTTTCAACTTCCGCGTTTTCGTCCAGGGCCTTCTCATGTTCCTGATTCCGAATATGAAGTCGAGAATGCTAAAAAAACCCCGAAAATTCCCGTTCCGGAGAACCCACAGGCCGGCTTTCCAGAACGGTGATTGGATGGACGCGCACAAATGGGCGGGCATGGATGGGGGAGGGCGGGTATGGATGGGGGTCCTCGTGCATCTTCGCTATTCCGAAGCGATTTTCTCGCTTCCGAAGCTGCGTTTTGCGCCGCGAACTTGGGCATGGATTGATAGAGGGCCCTACTATTATATGCTGTCAAAAGCTCAACGCCCTCAACTTAGGGTGGACGGTGCCTTTAAGGAGTGCTGCCAAAATGTTAGTACCGCATTTTCTACCATGAGCGCTTCAACTCCACCTCACCACAAAGCCAAAACAAGTCAAATTAAGCTCAAATACCTATGGGGGGGGGTACCTATCTTTGAGGTTTAGGCCAGCGCGAATCGTATAGAATTATGGAAAAGCTTCTTCGATGATAAAGTTAATCAGGTCAAAAGGTCAGATTGCCTGAGCTTTTGAAGTGCGCCTGACCCCCTCAACCTGCTTTCAAAATCCAGAAATCGCTCCCCTAGTATGAGCATTGACCTCATAGCTTCTTCTTGGTACAGTGGAGATTTGCAGCCGAACGCCCCACCCCTAGAAAAATCCTGATCTCTGTAGCCCTTTCTCGAGCCCATTATCTTCACACCATCCACGTTGATAGGGGGAACCACCCGATTCACCTTCTGGAGCAATTTTCTCCTTTTAGAATACATATCTTGCAATAAGAGTTGGATTACCTAGTTCATACTGATCCGTAAGTACCGAAACAATTGCAGCAAGCGCACAATTCGAGCGCTGTTCTTAAATTGTTCCGGTATTTACGGATCACTTGAACCTTGCGGGAGAAATACTTCAAAAGTGGCTCTTCCACTGCGCGATTTCGGGTTTGGTCTCAAAAATTGCTAGAGTGCCGATAGCTAGCCCCAAAAACTTAGAAACCTTCACATAACGGTAGTTCATACATCATTATGACAGGCTTTGATATTGCATGAAAATGCCAAAACAAAAAATTTGCGAAAAAGTAATTTTGCAGAAAAGAATACTCTTTTTATTCATTTCTTCACAAAAATACAGCCCAGAGAAATTTGAACTATTTGCTTATGAAAGTCAACGGTGTTCTTTTCTTTTTGAAAATTTACAGTATCAAATGGATTTTTCCTAAACGACATTTTTTCATTTCATTTCATTCATGCGCTCAGGGCGTTCCAAATGAAGAACGTCAGAGTGTTAGTCATACATGGAACACAACAGTAACGGAAAATCCACCGCTTCATCCCAAGTAGTCCAAATAATTATATAACGAAAATTTTATGAGATTGTGTTTCCAATTTCATGCGAGATCAAAGTTGTCACATTAATATGTGGACTACTACTATGAAAAATTTTTGCAGATTTTTTGGGGACAAGTAGCTGCACTTCAAAGAAACTCAAATTTACGAAATTCGAAGTGCTGCCCTTGAGGCTTTTCTTCCAGGTCTGGTCGGAGACTGTTGCCCCTACGTTTCTACATAAAGGTATAGATTTGGACATCGGATCCAAAGAACTGTTGGATTTCTTTGAATTACGCAAGGACTTTTCAATTTAGTGCATCGGCGAAAAATCCACACAAACTGAGTGAATATGCAAGAAATACTCCAGTGAGTTGAGTTAATTTCTTTGCCCAATTTTGCTCAAATTAGACACGGCAATTAGCCCTATTCTGTAGGTTACACAAAATAAGGCTTGCTTCAAAGTAACTTAGCCAAACCGATGCAAGGTCAAATCACTACGCTGTCCAACAGAAGAGGTGGTGAACCGAATGAACCTGTTGAACAGGATAAGTCTGGCATTTACTTGAGTCGTCGGACGCGCATCTGACGTGCGCGGCGCAATAGCCGTACGCACGTCCGACTCTCGCGATCCTGCAGGCCCCTATATCAGCGGCCCACAATTACTTCAATCACGTCGTGAATCCAGTGTTGAGGTTATATTCCATTCAAAGCTTTCAAATGAATATAATGTGCGACCCGAGGGGTAGAAAGGGGTGGGGGAAGAGGGACGAGTAGGAGACTGTTTATCACAAAATCTCCACTCCGCCTACCTTAGCTCGCGTATCTTCACCGTTGTAAATCCTGCGCTTCATGCGCTCTACGACTAATGAAGTGCGTTCGCGCCTGAAGATATTGCGCCTTCGTGCAGCAGCCTGCATGTCTCTGTATTTCTAGACTTGGGCCCAACAAACTTCTTTTAACCATTTCACCTCATAGAAACTCAGGAATCAATTTGGGGGTTTTCCATGAAACAGATTTTTTCGGAGGGAGGGGAAGGAGGGACTGCCAGATATTTCTTTCGGAAAGAAGGTAGCCCTGGCTATGACCTCCAATGTTCTTTGAAAGCTCTGAGGGACCAAAGTCCAATTTTTTCAAGAAAGTGATGTTTAAAACCTGTTCCGAAAAGTACTCAACGTTTCGAGAGACAATCAAAATAGAGAGCAAGATGAGATGACTCTTACATTAAAGCTTCCATGATCACAATTAACGCTTAAATTGCTGAGAATTTGTCGTTCTTGTTCATTATCTTCAAAGCATTGAAGCAGGAAATTCTGGGTTCTTTTTTGTGCAAACTGTAAAGTATACAGTGCATCTATGAGCTTTCCTTCATGAATAACTCATACTAACTTTGATGTGAAAGAACAGCCTGCAGTCAGAAATTGGAACAAGATGTTGGGATATCAATTATACCACGAGATAGTATGTCTATGACGTGCAGGGGTGCACAGAGGAAAGCTCATAATTTTTTGAAGATATAGTAACATATTGAGCCAAGTTAATTCACATCCATTGCTTTTTGGTAGTTGTCTCATTGACGACCATGGGAAAAAACCCCATCCTCGTGTTCCTGCAAGGACAATATAAGAAAAAACCTTGAGCATAAACAGGAGCCACGGGTAGAAATAAGAACTTAGCCTGTCTGCGATATGGACCGAGGAAGTTTTCAATTATAAGTTAACATTGTGAAAGTCCCTACACGAAACCATCTAGCTCCAAAGTTCTAATGAACATCTTATCGTTAGCACACGAACAGCCAACATATTAATCCTCAGTGTGATTTTCCTGATGCGCTTGGCACAAAGCCCTTCTGGACAAGATTTTTTTACTTGTGCAAAATTATCACAAGGTAGTAGGCATGAAGGTTCTGGCATTGGATTGTCTGGAAATCGACGCGTTGACGACCTTGTGTATCCGCATGTATGCACGCCCTGACTTCCGTTTAGCATTGTCGTGCATCCGCGCGTATGCACGCTAGTTCTTTAGGTGCAAATGAAAAGTTTTTAGATAACTTCTACGCAATAATACTAAGTGGCCTGATTGTCTTACAGAACGTAGGGCATCGCGGCAGCTGTTCAGAAGTTTTGGCCGCAAAATTGGGTAATCAGTCCGTTTTTGATGTAGTCAATACATGCTAGTCACATTTTTTCGAGAAGGTGAAAACTCTGTATAGCTGTTTTGAAATCAAACAAGGATGAATCAAGCAAAAAACACCTGGTATTACAACGCTTTTCTCGGAGAGGGATTTCTCAGATATATTCACTGCATGGTTTATCGGAGGGAAAATCGATGCAAAAACCTTGATTTGTGTAAGTCTTAGTAAGACTCCGTGATATACCTGTATGTTTGAACAAAGTTCGCATGTTCTATGAATAAGTGTCAAAAAGGCCCCACATAACGTTTTCGTGCATCCGCGCATATGCACGGGCCAAATGCGCGAAGGACGTTAGTGGGAGTTTCGCCCAAAATGGCACGGTCGTCAACGTGTTAATCAAGTTCCGCCTTCTTACTTTGAAGTGTCATAACTTTTTTTGAAATATATTTTAAGATAAGAACAACTGTGATCAGTAAGCCTCCATCTATCGAACGCATATCCAATTGTTTAGAACCAACAAGCGAATCAATGGAAAACAGAATGCAAGGAGTTGTAACCCTTATTAGAAACGAGTGTTTGGCGAGAAACTTCTGCAGATTATAGCCACAAACCAGCACTGATAAATAGCTACGCAGAAATTTTCACTTTCTGCGGAACAGAAAAAATGCGTCAAAAGTTTCAATTTTCCAATTTCCAACCTCCACGGTTGCGACCACCGAAGAGTTATGGGTTTCTTATCATCAACAAAAACAGAGCCTGAGAGGTGCCAGATAAAGTGGTATCGCTACGCCCTCGCGCTATGAAAGCAGTGGCTCGGCAAGATGAACCCTGTCAGATTTTGGTACTGTTAGATAGTAACCCCTCTCCCTCCCCCCCCCCAATTACACCACATCCTCATCCTCACCTTCCAATTCGAGGCCCAAGTACTGGAATCATGTTTCACATTTCCACCAATACGCCCATACAACGCAAGTGGGCGAGGCTGGTGGAAATTTGGAGCACGATTTCAGGACTTAGGCCTCAAACTGGGAGGTGGGACTGAGCCTACAGTATAGCCTACAGTAGTTGTATTTAATAACAAAATCTGACAAGGTCCGTTTTGCCAACCCATTGCCTTTGAGCACAAAGACTTTTAAGGTTTTTTTCAAGAAAGTTTTGTAAGCCGGGGGAGGCTACGACAATTGGTCATAGTCATACTAGAGCCTCAGTCTCTCTGCACTTACGGTTGTTAGAAGAAAGCCCCAAGATGTAACTATCTATATACCTTGTAAGCTCTTTGAAGTCAGTGTCCGGGCAAAATCTCGAACAAAAGTTTTTCCGCTTACCTGCACTTATTCTTCCCGCTGATTTCAAAATTGCAGCTTACAGAGCACGAAAATGTCGAAAACGGGCTAGTCCAGAAGCTGTTGGTTTTGAATATGTGCGAATAAATAATATGTAATATATAGAACTCCACCGATCAAGCCCCTTAATGGAAGTGGGCGGGCCGGTGTAGCTCAGACAGTCGAGGGGATACCTACGGCAGGCAAATGGCGCGAGTCTACCACTCTGGAGCGCTCCGGAGCTCTGCTGCCATTTCACCCATTTTGGTGCTCCGGGGCTCTCCCAAATCTGGCGCACCTCCAAAGCAGAGATTTGCGGGTCCCGGAGAGCGGTCCCATTCGCCTGCTTGTGAATCTTTAACATCTTTAATTATGGACTTGCTATTGTGCTATACATATTATAATAGAATTACCTTTCCGGTTATAGCCAAAGTATTGCAAAGAGTAAGACTTGTGATTCAATACTTCCAATTCGAAAAAATTGCAGCAGATTACATATATTTGAAAGGCAAGACATACAAGAAAGAGCACAAAGAGGTTCCATAAAGTATGCATAGTTGACTGCAGGATACACATATACAGAAGAACGATCTCCTGCATTAATTTTCGGAAACCTAATATACAAGTTGTCCCAAAAATGTGCCTACTGTTTGATTGTTAATAACTCTCTCGTCATAAAGGCGTTCGAGAAGCGTCAGATATCGTTTTGTAGAGTTGGCTTCGACTTACAAGGGAAGGATACTAACTTAGATTTGCCTTTTGAGACGATACACATATATCGGAATCAGCTTTGAACGCTTATTCCAAATATGCTGCTCCTAACTGCTTAGCGTTATTCCGGAGCGAGTTATGGACTTGCTACTGTGGGTAAACAAACTTCTGAATGCCGTAAGACGGCGTGTAGATAAAAATCTGCTTGGAAAAAAGTGCTAGGATGTTGAACTAGCATCAGATTACTTCTTTCCTTAAAAGGAAACATCATACAATTGCAAAACCACCTAGACGTCGACACCCTAGCATCAGTAGGTCGATGAGCACGCAAACTTTGCATAGAAAAGAGACCATAACTCGCCTCAGAAGAACGCTAAGCAGCAAGGAACAGCATAATTGGAACAGCGATCCAAGCTGATTCCAAATTTATGTCATCTCAGAAGGCGAATTTGAGTTAGTATCCGTCCCTTGTTAGGTCTACGGAGGTATGGAGCGACGGAGCGTACGGAGAGTATGGAGCGAATTACCGTTTCCTCTTCACTACTGTGAGATTACAATAAGAACGGTCATGTTTTATCTCAAAAATGAGTAAAAAAGCTACCCTATTTTCAGGTGTATAAGCCGCACCCTTTTTGCTCTAAAACCGAGCAGACCCAGGCGTGCCGCTGCGCATATGTCTCGCGAAGCGGTCGCTTTATCGCATACTGCTCTCACTTAACGCGCTCCATGGTGACAGTCAGTCTTTTGGCTGCGTTCATGCTGTCGAAATCCGGGAACAGTTCCAGCAAAATGCAGCAAAGTACTCAAACTGAGCGCTGTGCTGAAACTGTTCCTGGACTTTGGGATCAGTATGAACGCAGCCTTTGGCGTGTTCGCCTTTGGCCCCGGTCAGACTTCACGCGACTTGATCGTCGCGATCTAATCGCCAAGATTTCCATTCATTTTCATTTCACATTCAAAAATTTCGGGCTGGAAAAGTATCACAACCGAATGCAAGTTGATCGGCATGGAATGATGTTGTAACAGTTGTCTCCTCGCGATTCAGTCGCGACGATCAAATCGCGTGAAGTCTGCCCGGGGCCTTTAGAGCAAAAAGGGTGCGCCTTATACACCTGAAAATAGGGTAAAAACTCCTACACTAGGTTAGTTGCCGTTGTCTATTTCAAATATATATGACTCTCGCTTCACCGTAGCGCTTTTTCATAGGCTCTGCCAGACATACCGCAACAACCAATCATAACTTATAATAACGGGCTAAGGATGTTTACGTGACTTTGTGTGTGTGTCTGTGTGTGTGTGTGTGAGAGAGTGTGTCTGTTACGAAATTCGTAGAGCGTTCTCCAGCCAACCTCCTGGGCCCAAATTTTGCACAGCGCAGGCTACCCGCAAGAAAGTCTGACACGCAAAAGCACGAATAGATTTGTTGAGTGGATCCCTCAGAAACTGCGTGTCAAACGGATCCACTTTTCATTTGGGCCGCAAAATTGGGTCTATAATTCCACTTTTTGCAGAGTCGTGAATGTTTATGCCAAGTGAATGTGCCAGCCATGAACATAGGCCCAAAAAAGTGATCAAAAGTTCATCACTTTACAAAAACGGCGCCAAAAAGTATTAGTTGCGTAAATGGTCATTTTGCCGAGGTTTCATCAGGGAATTTGACAAGATTTTTGCACAAAGATGTAGCTGAAGGTGACTGCTATTCTCATTGCAACTGTCAAGAACATGAGAAAATCAAAAACCTATAAAAATTTGCGTTTGTTCTCCTGCAAAAAGTCTCATCCACGCGAAATCACCGATTTCACATAAAAAAGCTTTCAGAATGAGTAGTTGTTTACAATTTGTTCGTGATAGTCGGCATCGCTCGGTGAGTTCCAATGCCATCATTATGCAAGAATGAGTAGGGCCTAGATAGTAGAGCCAGTGCGAGCCTCTGCGAAGCAGAGGTGACGCACTGGTTCCTGATATTCCTCAAAAATCTGGGTACGTTGTTTAAAAAGCTCTGCGAACGCACAAAAGTTCATGTAGTGAAATGAGCATAGGTGAAAACCTTATTATACATTTCCATAATTTCTGATTAAAATTTTCAAACGGCCTAATTTACGGTGGCGCCGTATGCTGCGAGTTCCTACCGTAATCCTACAGTACTAAGAAGAGAACGGTAATTTGTTCCATACTGCAAATCTATGTCGAAGCCAGCTCAAAAAAATGGTACCTGGATATTCTTGAAAGGTTTAACGACAAAAGAATTATCAACACTCAAACAGTAGGCACATTTTTGGGACACCCTATATATACCGCCAACCATGGCCGCACGGTTAAGTCTTATTTTCTACCCCTTGTGATTCTGCTCCATGTTTAAGTAGCAAAACACATCTAGGTCACCTGGTTTGTTAAAACTTCGCTTCCGAGCTTCATGAGCGAGCTCCTGCGGATTTTTGAACCTAATGGAGTTCGCGCATCCAGTGAGACAACTATTCGTGGCTTAGCCAACCCAGCGGTAGGCTTAACCCAATGGGTCCGCTGACACAGTAGGCTCAGAAATCGGTTTCGCGGGTAAAGCCTTTTCACTGTGCTCTCGTTGAGGCACTATTGTGAGCATGGCTCACCACATTATGTGAAAAATGACATGCATTATCTCAATAACACTAACACAGCTCAAGGCCCCGATTCTCCCTTCAATAAGATCTAAATGATTATCTGAAGAAAAAAAAACAGTGCACATCACATGATTATTATAGATGTTTATTCGTGGCAGCAACACAGTATTCTTGCAAATGATGGGTAGGGTTGGGTTATTGTGTATGGGTTTTGTGGGCGGATCCCGGACCGGCTAACCCTTCGGCTAACATGGTGGTTTCAAACAACAACATCACATACACATCGAAAGATGAGAATGCATGCTTTCCATGAAACAAGAACATTCTTGCTCACCTCAAGGGGAGTGATAAAGTTGCAGAAACAAACCACCAACTGTGGCTGGCTGACAGAAAACGAAAAGCTTATTAATATCGCAAGCTAGCAAATGTGTATATAAAAACAAGCAACTACGAAGTAAGTGTCAAATAACATGCAATAAAACACTAGGCAACCAAAATCCAATGCTTGAAACACCGATGTTGTCACGAGCAGTAGATGTTGGATGCAATATTGAATTTTTTTCAGATTACAAATTTAAAACATAACCGAAGTGCCGTATACAAGGATGGTAAGCATCAAACGTGTAGACGAGCAGTAATATAGCGAATGGAATTAAATGAAACAAGAGTTCCAAGCAACACAATATTGGGAAGAGTGGGAGGGGACGCGGTTGATGTCGAAGGAAGTCAAGAGAACGCACCACCAGAGGTCGAGCGCAACCAACAGTCAGCGCACATGATGGAACGCGGCTTGGATTCGCGGGATACGGAACGATCATGATGGTTATTTGTTCGAATGGATGGGGACTGCGCGCACGAACGAATAAATACCCGAGAGGCAATCAGCCACAACTGCGTCAAAGATGGCGCTGGTATGGAGGCGAAAATCTGTCAAACTGCCACCATGACAACGCAAAACAAACCTATGAACAAATGCACAGACGCAATGTAGTTGACTGCACCAAGGGAAGAGGGCGATGCGTTAGAGCGGAAAAGATCATCAGTTAGGCCAGCAAGACTTTACAATAGAACTCTAACGCATCGCTATATTAAACATCTTACTTACAAGCGGGGAAAACATCACCCCACCTCATCCACACGTACAATACAAGAATAAGAAAGGGGAGAACGATAAGAGTGGGGTGAGATGCCTTCGAGCCGTGTGTAATACCGCGTAGAGAGAGACGAGTACGCTCTTCACCCAGAAAGAGACAACGGAAGTTGCTTAGCATCAATCCTCCGTCATTCAGAACCATTCACATGGGATGGCGGCGATTGCTTGTGAGACGTCTCTGAAAATGTATGCCGTCGCAAGCCATTTCCGGTGTTATGCGATGCTCAATTTATACATGCGACGGATATGGTCAATGAAAAACGTCTTTTTGCAGTGAATTTGTAAGTTTTGCAGAGAGTTAAAACTACTTTTTCCGAGACCCAGTTTGAATGTTTTACAGTGCACCGCGATAGCATTCTAAGCCCTGGTAAAACAGTTTTGACTATTCATGTTGTTCTAAGAAAGTCATGGAAATATTATGACCGCGAATATTCACAGAGCGCAAGTTATTTCATGCTTGCTAGGGAAAAGAAACGTTGAACTTGTTACTCAGAAGCATTAGTTTAGATTCAAACGAAACTTGATGCAGATGCATTTGAAATCACAAAATTGCACGCTTGCATTCCAACAAACAAAATTTGATGGCGGAGAAAATAAATCACCAAAATGACTATGTTAACTAACCTTGAGGCTCTTCCTTGCGCCTATCACCGTGCAAATTGGTGGCACGTTGGAAATCGGCAATAAGTTGTCCTATACGGACCTGTACGCTTTGGGTGGCCAGAAAATTACCTACAATCCGCACAACGGTACCGCTATCGTTGGGCGAAGGTGACGACGATCCTGTAAACAAGACATTAGAAATGCAGAAAACAGCGACAACAACAAAATCTACTCAAAAGACAACATCAGAAACGAAACAGTTCCCGCTTACAGAACTCTTTCATAAAGTATAAGCACCTTCTTTGGGTTCATCATGTGCAGTTGGGTCTGTAACTTTGGGCTCATCTTCAGGAATTTTGACCTAAGACATACAAATTCAGAAACTTAATATCTTACAAGTTGAAAGCAGCACCATGAGAACCAAACAAATACACACATACCGAAGCTCCAGTGATGCGCTGCAACTCGCGCACGTTTTGCCCGCCCTTGCCAATGATTCTGCCTACGAGTCGCGAGGGGACGGTCAACTCCGTTCGTAGCTTCACCTGAACAGTTACACTTGAGTGATCAAAAAGTACAGCAAACCCTATGCATAAACACCACAACAATCGGAACTGTAGCTAAAACACCACATAAATTAGCGTACGCAGAACCAGTCTTAGCTGCATACATAGTGAATGATACGTTCGTTTTCAAATCCGATCAAACTAGTGGCGATTGTCTTCTAACATTTCATTCTACCTACTACTGGCGCTCTTCTCGTAACCCGATTAGTTTTTCAAACAGAAAAGCATAGGACTTCAGTCAGTAGAATGCGAGAGTAGCGGTCAACCACTATGCCACTGCATTATTAGTCAATGCAACTGAACGTGCGCACAATGATGATCGATATCATAACAATGCATTTATCTATGTTTCCAAGAATAAGATTCGAGTTGATAGTTGATTCCAGGTTCAAAACTGTGAATTAACAAGTGCAAAAATTATTATGAAAAAATTGAAAAGTACGCTAGCACATAGGATCAAGACCCACTCGTCATATGAATTTTCGTACTACTATGATTCAAGCTGACCGACTCAAAGCCTTTTCATGTACAAATGGAAGCAAACCTCGTCGATTAGATGCTGGGACTGCTCTGCAACGCGATTGAATATCAAGAACTGTGCCCGATACTGCTGCGCATCATTACCAGTGATGGTCACGAGACGTTCGCCATCCTATATGAAAGGAATATAAAGTTCGGAAAAGCTATAGGCGTATTCAAAAACCTTCAGCATACAGTTTGAATAAATAAGAGAGACAAAAACTCTTCATTCGAAGGCGAAAATCTCTAATAAGATAAGAAGATCAATAACAACCCGAATAAATGTACATAGAATATGTATCTCACAAAAAGTACGATGATATTCAATGAATAAGTTCTCTTACGTCGTTCCGCCGCTCCTCGACAGGAACAACATCTGCATGGGGTTTATCCTCAGCTTCTGTACGGGGCTGAGCATCGCCGGCTTCTTCCTTCTTTTCTGGTTCTTCTTTTCGCTCCGCATCTTTACGCTCTCCGCCTCCCTCTATCCTTACATTCGCACCAGAGTTTCTTATAATATTACGGATATTGCTTCCCTGAAATTATCTATTTCATTCTCGTCCGCACCAAAATAAGAACAATTTAGGAAAAGGGAAGTCTTTCCTAATAGAATCGCAACATACATTCTTGTATGGTAGCGATTTCAAGGGAGCAGCTAAGCTATTGTAAACTTACAGTATTTGTGCTTGAGCCTTTTCTGATCCTGACTTTACACATACAAAGAAAGAAACAAAAACTACAAAAACTTATTCAGATGTTTTTCGTAACAAGCGCAAAAGAATGCATGCGGCTTGCCAAGCTCAAGCAAAGCACAGATACATATGACACGTAAGCGGTTTGACATAGCAAGCAAATTTTGTATATTCTAGATCATCCCTACAAATACACGTTTTTCCCCAACGACATAGAAATCTATATTAGGCTGTGCGTTAGTTTGGATGCACGTCACTCTTATTTTCAAGGGTACTGACAAGATTTCTACTGAATGTCTTCACTTTCAGAACATGAGGACCCTTCTAACGTTTGATATGAAATGGATACCTTGCTTCCAATAATTGCTCCAACCATTGAATTCGGGACCCACATCCGAGTGGTCTTTGAAACGTCCGCGCGTCCCCCAATCCCACACATTGGACCTCCCATAGGCCTCATGGTGGATGCAGCTAGGGCGGCGTACGCATCTCCGATTGGGTGAATCATGCCCGGCATAGTAGGAATGCCAGGGAATGACATCTGAAAATGTTGGTATGAGAAGTACGATAAAGGAAAACTGCACTAACATTGCTTTGTATTAAAGTTGCTTTCTCCCAGCTCATTTTTCAGTTCACTTACAGCTAAGTTGTGGATTTCAATAACAGTAATTGCAATCCATTACAAAACCCATATTGCCCTACATTCCACAATTCATGACAAGTCCAAAAATTGCCACTTGCGACTATGAGTTTCTTGAGTAAAAAACAACTAACCATTGTGTACATGCGAATGAAAGCGTTTATAGAAAGTCAATTCAAAAACCCGGATTCGGAGAGCTGATCTATAATGTACATGCGCGTTACCAAGATTTTCACCAACTAACCCGATGTTGAAGATCAGTCTCGTAACTTTGTCGCAATCTTGCGGAGATCCTTTGTTCGGCAGCTGATACCTGCAACCGTCTCCTTTGAAAGTCTCGTATAAAAACAGCAACCGGGCAAACATGCAAATGATACAAAGCAAACTTACTACTTCGATACTTGGGCCTTTGACTGTGATTGTACGCTCCATAGTAAGAACAGCATCGGGAAAAGGTGGCATCAAACCTCCCATAGAAGAGAGTTCGGCAGCCCTGGACGCCTGCTCACTAAAGAAGAGGAATAAACAGGTACTCGGACCTTCTCTGGTGCAAATTCTTAACACATTCACAACAGGGCCGATTTTTCGCTGACTGCCATTTCGGACCAGAGCATATTTCGCAAAATTGAGTTTGCGGAATATTTTTAGGTCACTAATGGGCCCTGTGGTCTGAAGTGTTGATCTTTTGGGGAAGTACTCTAAGAGGTGTATGCAGGAGTTTACTCGGCTTGTCTACAAAGTTTCACCGTGAACTAGCAAAATCAAAAACTTCAGAAAGCATACGACCCACCGGTGGGTCGTATTGTCCGAAATGGCAGAACACGTACGACCCACCGGTGGGTCGTTTTGTTGTGAATGTGTTAAATAGTATAAGGTAGAAAATGCTTCCCATAAAGTAGTGTACTGCAGGGACAAACGATAGCCTGGCTCGTAATCTATCGGAACGCTGATTTGCAAAGTTGAAGTCAAACATCGTCCCTTCACAATTACTGCTAAGTATGCTCTGCGACTCGGATCTGCGCCACGCGCACATAAGGGAGCCGTCATACTTCGCCGAAAAAAGCCCAAAAGCGCCCAAAAAAGCTCAAAAAAGCCCGAAAAAGCTCGAAAAAGCCCGAAAAAGCCGGAAAGCGCCAGAAAGAGCCGAAAGGTAGAAACGAACTTTTGATAGAATTCCGACATTATTGTCGTGCAGACGACAGAAGATGACAAAAAGACTCGATTGCGAAATTAACACACATGTCTTAACGCCAAAACGTGCGAGAAGTGTTCCGGCTCTTTCTGGCGCTTTGGGCTTTTTTTGGGCTTTTTGGGCTTTTTTGGGCCTTTTCGGGCTTTTTTGGGCTACTTTGGGCTTTTTTCGGCGAAGTATGACGGGTCCCTAACATGTTGGCAACATGCAGCAACATGTTGGCATCAAGTGCAGCAACATTTTGGCATCAATGCTAGAAGCCAAAAAGTTGCGCCATCTTGTCGCATGTTGTCTCATGTTTTCAACATGGTGAATATGCGCGCCGTAGGTCCGAGACAGGGCAGGGGTAAATTGTGGGGGGGGGGGGACGTTATACACTTTGGCATTGAGGAAGTGGCAATAACAAAATTTTGAAATCTCACTGCGTGTCCAAACAAGGAATCAGTGGTATGGGAACTACAACTGAGACTCTGCCATATCATGACAGTTGAACAGCTGACGTATTGTGCGCGTAATACGTTAGAAAAGTCTCGATATCCTTCCAAAACGCTTTTCTACCATCAAATGGTATTTTCTGAATAGCTAGCAATACGTAAGTAGGACTTCGCGACATCTGGTCGGCAACAGGCACCCATGATGCACTAAGGTCTATAACTTCTACTCAGACATTCGAAGGGATACCTCCGGCGGGCAAATGGCGCGAGTCTGCCACTTCGCGCCTGGAGCGCTCCGGAGCCCTGCCATTTCACCCATTTTGGTGCTACGGGGCTCTCCCAAATCTGGCGCACCTCCGGAGCAGAGATTTGCGCGTCCCGGAGAGAGGTCCCATTCGTCTGCTTGTGACGTCACGGTGAACGCATGCCCCTCTCCGGGACGCGCAAATCTCTGCTCCGGAGGTGCGCCAGATTTGCGAGAGCCCCGGGCACCAAAACGAGTGAAATGGCAGGGCTCCGGAGGCTCCAGAGCGCGAAGTGGCAGACTCGCGCCACCGCCGGAGGTATCCTTTCGACTGTGTGAGAAAGGGTGTCCCAGTTCCCTCCCAAAGAGCTTATACGAATTTACCAACAATGTAAATTCTTGGAACACTTTCTTCAAATCAAATACGTCTGAATGAAAACATTCCCCTTATAATAATGACGGAACTATAATGACCGAAGAGCCAAAGAGTGGTTTCGAAAAAAAACTAACTTCGAAACAAAAATCGTGGTTCCTGTATCTTGCATTATTTTCTTTATAGTTGCTCCCTGCTTTCCGATGAGACGTCCCACAAGCTGATTATGAGCTCTGATTTTGAGTTCGACCTCACTGTTACTGAACACAAGCACATATTATGAACCATGATTGTTCTTCATACAATGTCCTACTCTTTCGTTTCATCTTTCTCGTTTTCACGTTGCACAACTTCTAAAATTTTGACGCAAGCTTTCGAGCAGTTTTCAAGATGTCCAAGTATGGATATGATCTAAAAATGAAATTTGCACCATGGAACCAAAGTGTAAGACCCTGCCTACCTTCTCGCTATGTCCTTGCTGATCCTTGACGGTACGCTGAACATCCACTACGACTCGCGCCTTGGATTCCTTCGTGATTTCCCTTACATTGTTTCCGCCTGTACCGATGATCGCTCCCACATGCTTTGAGTCGATTACGATACGAAGAGGTAGTTCCTGAGAAAGATCTCTGTAGACTTTGTACTAAATATCTCAGAGCTGCTAATGAAGCAAAACAAAAACTGAAACCTGCTGTGGGGAAAGGCGCATGTGTGGTGCATTTTGCATCGTTGCAGTAGCATCGGCCGGAGGAGGTCCACCACGCTGAGAAACTCCACGACGTGCTTGGACACCTTGTCCCATCACTGCTCCCTGCTGATGCTGACTATGGTTGTGGGATCCGGATATACCCGATTGCTGACTAGCACCTAAACGCTGGATTGTAATCAACCACGAAAATTTTCGGAACAGTTCTGAACGCGCTCTTCCTTACACTTCTCTGCTGCAGGACTCTAGAAGTCGCAAGCAAAGCGCCGCAGCTATGATTGTCGGTTTGAGTATAAACGCGCCCCAATCTGCATCTTGAACCTTCCCACGGTAACCTTCAGTTTTCCATGTCTATTTAAACAATTCATTTTTCACTCACGTTACAACAAAAGTGATGTTTCAGTTCCACACTACCATCATGATCCACTACACATTCGTTACCAAGCTGCCTCAAGAGATATTCTATTCAAAAAACACTGTGTTACATCATCAATACAAGAATATCTCACAACCTTGTCCAGCTCAAGTTAATACGACCCGCCTCAAATTGCTCAAAATTTTGCTGCAAAGTGCTAGCTTAGGTAAGTAAAGATTTCTAATCGCATCTGTGGATGAGATGCTTGCCAAAATGGGCTATGATGCGGATAAACCCCTGTATTCTCCAAACAAGCAACAGATCAAACAGTACATATTGAAATGGGCGCAAGAGCCCCATTTGGGATACAAACTTTACCAATGATTCATAGAATGTGATGGAAACTAGCCTATACTGTGACCGTAATCCATATTAGCCGTGGCTGAAGCAGCTTGCAGTGGAAACTGATAACTGGGGGGTTGCTGTGGTTGATGTCCTATAGGCTGTTGCTGGTAATACATTTGCGAAGAAGTTGCTCCTGCCTGAATATAGTGGTTTGGAAAAATTTTCAAAATCCCACCATCTGATGAAACATTAGCTCATATGGACAAATATACAATCGAAATGTGAATACGCATGGAAGTGAGAATGCGAAACTCACTTGAGAATACTGTACGTACTGATGGGTGGCTTGAGCGGCGGTCGCCTGAGGACGAGCCTGCTGATAGTAATCCATTTAGATAAAAACGGTGTTGAAAGTAGATCAAAGCCACTCGGCGCCTAGTACACGCGGTTCCCCTGAAAAGCAAGTTATATTGAGCATGTGGTAAAGGATTGTGGACCATGATAATTGAAAAAAAAAACTATAATATCTTTTTATAGGAAACTTATCATAATACAGGGTGCCCTAAAAGTATGTATGCACTGTCTGATCGTTAATATCTCTCTTCCAAAGAGGTCTTTTGCCTAACTTCAGGTACCATTTTATAGAGCTAACTTCAACTTAGATTTGCAGTATTGAGCGGACCATCGATCGCCTTTCATAACTGTAGGATTACGGTAGGAACTTTTGGCTTACAGCGTCATTGTGGATTAGTCGTTTTCAAAAAACGTTTACAAAAATTCTGAAAAGTGGTGTATCAAGGATTTACCGCGCGATAATTTCATTACTCAACTTTTGAGAAGTTTGTAAAGCTTTCCAAATGGTGTAATCACAGTTTTAATGAGCCTTGTAAAGATAGCTATTGCGGTTCACCTGACATAAGTTGTGAAGGAACCCTTGCGGTAAAACGCAAAGTTCACTTTTGGTTTTGCCAACTCTGATGAGCCTAGTGTAAGAATTTGCAGGTTCTTTGGTTTGCTTTCCGACGCAAAACAGAGCCCTTGATGGCTCAAAACCTTTCTTGAAGTTCCTACCGTAATCCTACAGTAACCCATACTCTAAATTTAAGTTGAAGCCAACTCTACAAAATGGTACCTAAAAGTAGGCAAAGACTTTTTGGGAACAAAGATATCAACGATCAAACAGTGTATACATACTTCTGGGACACCCAGAATATCGCAAATTTTCAACCTTTAAACTTGCATCTGTTGGCTGCAAGGTTTACGCACAACAAAGCACAAAAACAAAAAGCCATTCTAGCAGAATTAAAATCCAAATCCCATAAAAACACATTTTTAATTGAAACGGATATTAATGATGCGACATTCACGGTAAACGCCGTAACGCTAATTACAGTTGTTCTGTAGCTGCAAATCAATTTTCTGCGGGAAGTCTGGCCATTTTAGAGTAGGAAATATAAAACCGCAGCTAACATAAGACTAATCAGTATACGCTCTTTCTCGCTCAAATGGTCAACAATGTCCAACTTCACCCAAACAGCGGAGTATACCAAACGACTAATATGGCAGCATTCATCATAACCTCAAAAAGAGCGCAGTGACGATTCTATGCTAGCCGTTGGTCAAAATTTCGCTGTAAAAAGGCCATAAAACTTCAAAGTCGTTTCGCAGATACAGTAAACCAATTTTTTCAATATTTCCCGCATTTGCCGCATCTCTAAAAGGACCCAGATAGAAGAGAAGGGTGATGAGTTTGAAGGAGATAATGCTAGAGTATGCCAGTGCTTATCAAAACAAACAATTTTACACACAATCGGTTTCGGGACTAAGAACTAAACCGGCCTTCAAAGGCTTCTTTCAATGACAGCGCATTTTTTTCAGTACATCTTTAAAAAAAAGGAAATTTACCTATACTCCCTAAGGGTTTCAATACACTAAGTCAACGCAATGAACCAAGAAAGCACCTGCAAACAACCAATGAGAAAAAATCGAGACGGAATATCTGACTAATCGCATGATTAGTGTTGGTCAAAAAGATTTGAGAGTAGTGAAAATAATAACGATGGTATTGCAGTATTGCAACCTTTTATCTTAGCGAGGACAAGTAAAGTGCACGCTTACTACAAGTAAGATGCATTGGTCTGGTGAAGACGTAGAATTGATTGACACGCTGCGAGAAACATTATGCATTCGAGGAACAGCAGAACATATAAAATCGATGCTCATGAGGATGCGGGAATAAAGAAAACAGAAGTATTGGAAAATCGTATAAACGGAGGTGTGCAAGGTGGTCTGTTGGTGTGGAGTGAGCTGGACGACTGGAGGTGCAGCGGTGGCGAGAGCGAGATCGATACTCTGACCACGGCTGCGAGTGACATTGGCCGCAGTGGTGGTCGCGTAGCACGGGGACATCGTCATCGCATGATCAAGACAGCAGAGTAGAGCAACAGCCCGAACAGCTCTGCTCTGCTCTAGGGCCGCAGAAGAAGTACGTTGTCGGAAGCTCAAGCTAACGCGTTGGAATTTGTGCAAGTTCTTGGCGCGGCCTCAACTCTGCAGCAAGTCAGTATTTACTCGAATTCTACGTCATCACCGTCTGCAAAGACATCACGCTTCAGGCATTGTGCGTTGGGAATACATCCACCGGGATCGATACCTGGCAAGGACCCAAGGCGCTTGAAGGGTGCCGCCCACCCAAACGGGATCAGCGCTCCCGTGCCGCCCCGCCGTTTGCACTGGGGAACTTTCACGCATTGGAACATTCATCTGCATTTAGCAGATAAGCACATCATGTTGAGGGAAGCAGCAGACATTTAGGACTTTTTCACTTTCTACCTCAACAAATTATAAGGACATGATTTACTTCTACATGGCCAATCTATGTCACAAAACAATGAAGCAAAAAGGAACGGTGTAGGACCCATAGGAAAAAAAACAGACGATTTAATGGATCGTTGGCAGCAGTTGCTTCAAAACTTTGCGCCCAAATTTGATTTGTAGCAATTTCGCTGGTCACCACCGTAAGTCAGATCGCAAGAATGAGGGTGATCAGGGACATGAACAGACCTAACTAACCTTAAGGTCACAAATGAGAAACTTCTTGCAGAATGTCCACGAAGGACTTCGGTCAAAGTACAGAACAAACTGTAAAAATAGTGCAAAAACTTCAGCGTCAAAGACCCACTTCGAATAAGTTTTTCTGGTTCCTGTATTGTAGATAAATTGTTCTAGAGATGCTTCGGCAGAAACATTGAGCGTCCGATTAAATTTCTGCAACAGTTCTGTAAATCTCAGCTGCACTAAAGGATTCTCAATCTGAGCAGCAAGCAGAGCAATATTCGAAGGCAGATCAAAAATGGCGAGTGGTGACTGAATTATGCGCAAAAAGATGAAGTAAGTCCAGCGAGTATCATAATGAGACCGTAAAAGCTGATGAATGTTGAAACATCGAAGGCGTGGAACAGTAAAGCTACAAATCATACTGCATGCAACAAGCTGGTTCATGAGCGCGTTACTTCAAACTTCTTTGGCTAAAGACACAAACGGGTGGTGTTTGTCAAAAGAACGAGATGAAGCAAGCAAACGCGAAGCAATATACGTCTAGCGACAAAGATTTGAGATTATGAAAAGACAAGCTGAGCGGAACTCCGCGCATAACAAACAACGCGAGTATTGATTGAAAAGTAGCGCCGCAAAACGACTCGAACAGCAGCTTCCGCAACCTCCTCGACTATTTTTTGTAGCAAATAGAAATCACTAATTGAGGGACTGCCAATAACAGTCGAATGTGAATCCTGCTAAATACTATCGCGCCTGATGTTACCACTATTGGCGCTTTTAACAATGTCTAATAAAATCAGCATCTCTACAATGACATGAGATATCCAGATATTCTAGGAACTGCAGGTCCCTAATGCATTTATGTTTAGTAAAACTGACAGCTAGGAAACTAGCCAATTCAGTTTTAACTAATGAAAACCAAAGCCGAGACGTAATGGAAAAGAACACGTCTACTGTAAGGTAGGTGCCAGAGTAAGCGAATATTTTGTTCAAGTTGGGGTCCCGCGCAGAACTAGCATCACTAATCATTGTGGCATAATGCCAACTTGGCGTTGTGCCACAATGATTAGTAACGCCAGTTCTGCGCGGGACCCCAACTTGAACAAAATATTCGCTTACTCTGGCACCTATCTAAGACACAATGAGCTGATACGCCACCACCCATGATGTACCAAACTGTGCAAATACGACATGGAAAAAAACAGCAAGTGTAAAATTGACTTTTGTGCTTCAGTGGGGTAGAGGAACGAACGCCTCAATTAGGCATCGCCTCCGCGGGCTGCTGGTCCTTTCGTCCTACTGTTGTGCATCGTGTTGGGACCAGTGGTCCGCGGAGGCGGTGCCTAATTGAGGTGTTCGTTCCCCCACCCGCTTCAGTGGCCTGGTCTATCTGAACACTGAAAATGTAACAAAATGTCAAATGCATACAGGTACTGAGAAAACACAGCTGATTTGCCAACACAGACAACGCACTAAGCTGCGCGAGGCTGTTCGCATATGCGTTGCTTGGCTGCCTGCGTTGTAAATCGCAATGTGAGAGATAATTTACACATACTGTCAGCGGATCCTTATACGATGTAGATAACCCAAAACAACTGAGTGAAAAACGTATTTTGAGTTTGGAACATGAATGCACTCTATTTACGTCAGGCAGGAGACAGCAAAGGCAAGCCGATTTTGCTTCTTGAAGTGCGTGGAACTCCTGAGGCATAGAAAATTTCCAATTACATCAATTTGCAGCTTTCTTAGGAACTACTGAAGGGGGCCACCAAGAAAGCTACTCTATCGGTCTAGTTCTAAGCGCCGAAACCGGTTAGAGAAAAAAAAATGATTTCAGAGTTGAATCCATGTGTAGGGGAAATCATAGTAATCCATGAAATTCAATCAATTGTCTTTTTTCCCCTCCAGGGGTTTTCCCTAAACAATTTCCGCCAAAGTAGGGAAGCGATTAGACCTATACCCGATTTTCACTTTACATGCAAAATTTAGGATGTAGAGGAATCATGCATGTAATTGTAAGAAAACAAACGAAAAATCGAAAAAAAAAACAAAGCGATAACGTTCAAGTTCTTCAAACATAATCAGATGCTGCTCCTGTGGTTTTGCGGCAACCTCAAAGGTAGGCGCCAGACTAAGCGACTATTTTGTTCAGCTGCAAAAGGCGCACAGAATTAATGTCTGCTGCTTACAAGGGAATGGTCAGAAGTCGAAGTGGCCAATCCATACAAGCTGCATACCAATCGATGCAGCATAGAATGCTGATTTCAAATGTGTCTTCCGTACCTGCAGAGCGCCTTTGTGGGCGAAGTTATGAGCAGCTTTACTGCGAAAAAATCGTCCACAAAAACTGCGAAATTAGGCAGATCACTGCTCTTTTAGCTCACCTTTAGGTACGAGCCATATGAACTGACCTAGTTACACGTTTTGGTCCAACACTGAGCCGAGAATGGCTTTGTATGGCCAAGTTTGACCTTTACACGCACAATTTCTTAGCAAAATGATGACATTCAATGGCTTATAACTTCGCCTACAAAAGCGCTCTGCAGATAAGGAAGACAGATCTGAAATCAGCATTCTATGCTGCATCGAACGGTATGCAGCTTGCTTGAATTGGCCACTTCGATTTCTGACCATTCCCTTGTTAGGCTGCGTTCATATTGATCCCAAAGTCCGGGAACAGTTCCAGCACAGCCCTCAGTTCAAGCACTGTGCTGGAACTGTTCGCTGACTTCGGGATCAGTATGGACGCAGCCTTAATGTCTAGGCCTGCTTCAGCTGCAAGTCCCGCGCAGAGTTAACGTTAATTCTGTGCGCCTTTTGCAGCTGAACAAAATAGACCCTTAGTCTGGCGCCTCTCAAAAAGTAATGACAGAGAGATACTCTGCCATGAAGAGTAGCGAGAGTTATTCTTCAATCATTCGAGGTAGACTTATCACTGATTTCAAGATCAAAATATGTTTCATGCAATGACCTGAGAAACGTTCAATTTTGAAACCAAAACAGCAGGACTGTATCCTTCTCGTAGAAGAAATTCTCTTCTTGTGACGGAAGATTAGAAAGCAATAGAGATAAAAGTCCGTTATGCGATTAATTCTACGCCTAACAGAAAATAATCCTTAGTTCACCTTCTGAAAGAATTTACTTCCGTTACGATTTTACGACCTAGAAATCTTTATGATCATCAGCTACTACCACCATACTCGAGGATCCTATGCTAACAACTGCACCTGATCAACTAATTAGAAGCACGAATCAAGTAAAGGTGAGAGGAAGTTTGGAGCTCCTCAAACACTTCCATAAGCAGAAGCGGCAGCCTTTACTGACTTCTGCCTGACCGCTCTATTTGCTGAGGTGCGTAAAATACTTGGAAGATGAACTTTTCCCAGCAAACTGCTTACTCCAATGAAAATATGGGCATTTATGTAAGCAAAGAGAAATGATAGTAAATCGCATACAATTGCACCTCAACGTGGAAGACAAAAGAAATAACACATCTGAACAGGAAGCAAAAACAAAAAAATGAAAAAGTTGCATAGTGTGGATCCTTCGGCAACAAAATGTTGCGCTGGTCTGCAATGTAAATTTAACAGTCGAAAACAGAGTCAGATGGCGAACAAAAGAAGGTGAGTCCAGGAACCTGCGCCAGCTGCGTTTAAAGGGCGCATAAAGCGGTACGTTCCACCCAAGACCTATGATCGAAGCAACCCGATTCCTTTGAAGAGACTGCGATCTGGTACGCAGAAAAAAGAAAAGCGAACCTTCATTTAGAAGGGGTTGGATCGATGCCAACAAATTTGATGTGAACAATGGCTGTTGATTTGTGATTGCTTGTCAAAAATTTTATTTGTGTAAGTAGGCATCCATTAGGAAGGATATCACGGGTGTATTGAAAGGAATGTAACACCGAGGGTGGAGGTGCAGTGACAGGTCAGCGAGTAGCGAAGGGAAGAGAGAGCGCCCGAAAGCGGTCATCTGTTGCGTTGACCTTGGTTATTGATCATCAGCTGTGGGTGGGCTATCTATCTCCCGCCACTGCTTGGCTTGAAGTAGCCAGCATTTCGAGAGCTTATCCCACCTGACATATCATTCATTTTCTGTAACAAGGGGAGGTCGAAATCTGCTTTCCACGTGAAACTAATAGCAATCTAGAGAGCTTTAAACGCTGAATCCAAAGCTGTTTTTGTTTCCCGCCAAGCGCCTCTAGATGCTGACAAGGGAATGGTCAGAAGTCGAAGTGGCCAAACCAAACAAGCTGTATAGCATTCGATGCAGTATAAAACGCTGACTTCGAATCTGTCTTCCTTATCTGCTTCCCGCTTCTGTGGACGAAGCTACAAGCGGTTTTATTGTGAAAAAATCACTCTATTATAAAAGAATAGCAACGGAAAAGTGAACTTTTTTTGCACCGCCCGTTTTCGTTGCGTGAGCCTGGACACCGTACCCCATTCCCCTTTGAGTTTGATGAAAAAAAGGCGATTGACGCGCATAAACTGCAGATGCAACGTAGTCTCCATGGTCTAGTGGCTAAGGGGTGCGACTCTCAGCTGCCAGACTCGGGTTCGATTCCCCACTCAGGAGTTCCTTTTTGCCACTAACGCTGGCTCCAAAAAACAGCTGATTTCTCCACAATCACTCTATTATAAAAGAATAGCAACGGAAAAGTGAACTTTTTTTGCACCGCCCGTTTTCGTTGCGTGAGCCTGGACACCGTACCCCATTCCCCTTTGAGTTTGATGAAAAAAAGGCGATTGACGCGCATAAACTGCAGATGCAACGTAGTCTCCATGGTCTAGTGGCTAAGTGGTGCGACTCTCAGCTGCCAGACTCAGGTTCGATTCCCCACTCAGGAGTTCCTTTCTGCCACTAACGCTGGCTCCAAAAACAGCTGATTTCTCCACAGGTCCTATTATATATAAAAAGAATCTGTGTCTCAAAATCCAAAGGTAACTCAACTTTAATTCCATATTTCGCCCTGAAAATGAATGAAATATAAAAATCTGAAAGCATTTTCGCTTAAGAGCTTGTTGTCTTCTTTTTATTGGTACCATTCTCTCCGACCCATCTTCACTGGTTCGTGAGTTATGAGCCCTCAAAGTTAACGTATCGGTTAAAGACGCTGCTGCTTCTTGAACGATATCTTTCGTGGTTCTGATAACCACTCAGATAATCGCGGGGGGAGGCGGCCATGAGAATTTTGAGCAAGCGGGCACCGGAAAAATAGTTCGCTGATTTCTTGCGGCCTGCTTGCAGAAATTTGGAGGAATGTTGACCAGTTTTCAGACGAATGTTCGGAAAACTGTCGCGGTCTTTCTGTGGATAACTTGCGGCACAGTGGCCGCATTCTCGCGGTTTTTCCGCGAGAACATGCAAAACTGTTGGGGCCGCACGGTCCTTGTGGAGGACCGCACTGCCCAGGGTGCCTTCCGTTGGAAGAAGGTACCCCAAACTTGGCTAATTAAGCCATCGATGACACCTCTGCTACATAGAGTCTCACCTTTTCTCGACGTACGCCCGAAACTGCGTAAAAAAAAGTCCGAGCGCTTGCTGAAAGTTTGGCCAGCGCTCGCTGGAATAAATTATTTGCCAAGCGCTTGCAGAAAATGCTGTATTGCTGCCCGCTGGCAGAATATGCGACCGTAAAGGAAGTGCCGCCCGCTGAAGGTTTGTCCACGCCTCAAAATTCTGCTGACCGCTTGCAGAAAAGCGCGAGTTTGCGGGCCGCCTGCCCCGGCGATTATCTGAGTGCTTGCGGGGAAGTTCGAACGGTGCTATCCTTGTATCGGCGGCCCAAAATTTCAAAGTCGTGAATTTGGCTGAGATTTGGTCGATGGGGATCACAAAACATTCTTTTTTCACAAACGCCACTTGGTGGGGCAACGGTGGGTATAAGTAGAAGAGTCAGTTCAGTTTTGGCTGAAATTTGGTCTAGGGGGTTTTCTGAGGTGCTAATCACGAATACCATATTCTTTCTGCATTCTGAGGCGGGCTTAGTCTTTCAAAATCCTTCGAACCAACGTACGCCGGGCACTGCGGTTTTGGCACGAAAGATGAGGGGACGCTGTGAGCATACTGACTAGAAGTACATTGAAGGGGTGGAAGATACTGTGACTTTCTTCAATAAGCTTTTGAAAAAAGGGGGTTTTGCAGACGGGACAGTTCCTTGAATAACGAAAAAAGAGTGGACAACTTCACTGTGGATTTTTAGAGGGGAAAACTTAGTGCATTTTGGCTAAGAAACTGGGAAAGGAGAACTGATATTTCAAGGCTAGAGTGATGAAAAAATTAAGTTCTTGTAGAAGACAGTCTTTTCGCACGGGCAGTCTCCAGCGCTATCCTGATTTTGACTTGTCTTAACACGTCAGCACGCCGCAAATCTTTCTTCCGCCTGCTTTGCTTAGGCAAAAGCCGCCGCAGGGTGTTCCGCGCGCGACAGTGGTCCTATGTGGAAAGCAGAACGGACGCGAATCGTCCTCACCCTCCTCTAATGCTTTGACGGGAAAAGCTGCTAACGCTTTGAGGAAGTTTTACACCGAAAAGAACCTACAATATATCAGCTAAGAAAAGCCACAAAAAAGAGAGCTACGTGAAGGATGCTATACAAGAGAGTTCAGAGAAAAAGCGCGAGCTGTAAGGTGGCAATTCTTTTTGGGGAATGAGCTTCACTAAAGCGACATCTTTCTTGACTCCTTTCATCTGCAAGCAGTCGTACTTTCGTCATAAGAACTGTATGCGCACCATGCCTTCCCAGCAGAACTTTTCAATCAAAACATCACTAGATGAAGTTTAATAGCTTTTACGGCATTGAAAAAGTGTTATACGAGGCTTTGGTGACTCAATACAACATTTCTCACACCTGCTAGCCATTGGGCCGCTAGTCATACATAAAAACAGCGAAATTGAGCACATTGTTGCACTTTTAGCTCGGCTTCTGGCTTCAAAAATTTTGAGTAAGCTAGCTGCATATTTTGGCCCAGCGTTGAGGCGAACGAGGCTCTGTACGGCTAAATTTTCAATTTCACGCATAATTTCCAAGCAAAATAATGGTCTCTAATGGCTTAACCTCGTCCAGAAAAGCGATAAGCAGATAAAGAAGACAGATTTAGAGTCAGCGCTTTATGCTGCATCTAACGCTACGCAGCTTGTCTGGAATGGCCACTTCTATTTCTGACCATTCCCTTGTGAGTTATGCATGCTTGGAGGGAAAAATGATAATGGGATTTAGGCAAAATCTGTAGCTAGGTCTTTGCAGCGCCCAAATAAAAAGTGTTGAATACGCGTATATTTTACATACAGTCAATGTCAATTACGTACTCCCTTCCGCATGGGAATTACGTGTGCGCAACGCAAAGGCCCTGCGCGCGGAGTTCCAATCGATGAGGCCAATCTGATTGCCGGAACCACACGCGCGCGAACGTGGCGCGAAGCTCATTGCGATTGCGGGAAAGCGAGCGCGCGGTTGACGCCGACTGTAGAGTCCGATATGCTGTCGCAGTCACGACAAAGGCGGCCGTCTCCGCCAGGACGACCGGTAACGACACGGCGCTAAAACTGGATTCGCCATGGAGCGGGGATTGTGACTGGGGCAGATCTCCTCATTTTCAGCTCCATTTGGTTTTCTGTCCCAGTGGTGCCTTCTACTACCATTTATATATGTTTAAACACTCAGTTGTGCTGACCACATGCATGTCATTGCTCCAGTGTCAATGTTCACCCTTTTCTTCTTTGTGGTTGTACAGACATTAACACAAGCGGAAAAGTATTCGTGTACGGGAGTTCTTGGTTTGGGAAGACGGTCAAGAGGCGCGACCTACGCGACCAGACAGGCAGACATACAAACAGACATTCAGCCTTATTTATAAGATACATCAAAATGCTTGCCTTGCAATGCTGATCCCGAAACTATCTCCTTTAGCTGCGGAACGCCTTTGTAAAAGAATTAGCGCTTGTTAGCGAATGTAATGACATAAGTCACATTTGGAAAGGACACGACCACCAAGTTTCTTCTCCCCGTAAGAAAAAGGAACGTGGTAGCTGAAAGCAAATAAGCTCTAAGAACTGAACGTTCCAATTGAGTGTGACTTTCGCGTATAGTTTTATATGATCTGTCTTGGGCTAAGCAATCCGTTGACGCAGTACAGTGCTGCTCAAAATTACACTACAAGTAAGTTCTAGCTTGAGAACCTATTTCTATTTTTGGCGAGCAGATGTAAATCAGTTGCGCGATTTTATGAGCCAGCAAGTTATTTTGAGACTCAGTGACGTTACATACAAACAGGATTCAGTGGACGAAATCTGTCCAATACATCGTCCAGTTCAACTCAATGAGGCGCAACGCCTGATATATGGAGCTGTTTGGTCACGGTAGGGCGGTAGGCAGTCAGATCTCACGGTTACTCAGGGTGCTTGATCACTGCACACTTCATATCATAAGCGAGAATCGTATTTTTGTGAAAAGGGACTGCTCCTCATGCGCACACCGTATCCAAACATGGTCCTCCGTGTATCAGAAAACGCGATTCGTGAGCTGAATCAAAATCTAATCTTGGATTCAGACTTCGTTTACTCTGAGCGAGATATGGCTACGCTGTCACCTAACTCAAATGACCGTCGCTTCTTTTTTAAAATTGTAATATGTTTTTTGAAACATTAATTCACATGCATTTCAGTGACCGCGCGAGAAAGTTCTCCCTTTGCTTCTCATCTATTCCAGAGAGATGCCCTCCCTGCCAGGAATATTTGAACTGTTACATTTTGCTTTCAGTAGTCATTCATATATGTTGCTAGAAGCTTCAAGTAAAAAAGTTGTTGAGAGACGATAGAGGTAATTTCTTGCAAGCGGAGCCTTTTCTATTTACTCTAACAGGAGCTAGTTAGCAGCATATATCGTGTTACACAAATATGTTTCACTTTTCAGTATCAAAAGGGCCGGGCATACTTCACGCGATTTCAGTCGCGACGCGATTTGGCAATTCGCCAATAGTCTTCAGATCCTACATTAGCAAACCGCACATGCATAACGTGTGTAACTTATGTAAATTGATAGAATGCCCTATCTTATGTACATTTAAAATGTGCTTATAGAAGTTATGGACAGTTGGAATATTGCCAAATCGCGTCGCAACTGGAATCGCGTGAAGTATGCCCGGCCCAAAAGAGGGCGGACTGGTGTCGCGGTAGTGCGAAAACCAATTTTTACTTTTACCAAATACAATTTTCAAAATCAAAGTGATTAGTGCCTTTGTAATATTCCCTTATTAATGTGACAACAGTTAACCATGAGGGCAAGCACGCTAGTGGTAAATTGTGACACATTGTTGAGAAGTGTATCCACAAAGCTTCTTATGCAATGTTCACTACATATATCCCGAAAACGGTCGAAATTAGTCTCAGGATTAGAAGGCGTCTTTGTCGCATCATCTTTGGTCTTTGCATCAGCATCTAGAGAAAGTCCTTCGAATAAGATTTTCACGTCTGTCGGCATCTGAAACGAAAAAATGAAATTATAGTTCCTATACAACGATGATACTTACGCGCTCTAGTCTCGCGGAAATATCTTGAGCCTGTTTGATCCTATTCTGGAATTCTTCGTAGGAGGGGATACGAGCAACTTCTTCATCAATGACTGCGATTCGATGAATCAATGCGTGAGCATCCTAAAGCCGTGAATAAGCGCAAAAAAACGTTATGCTCGCACCTCTTCAATTTTCTCTTTGACAGAAGCAGCACTTGTATCAAATTGAGCCAAGGCTCGATCAATGGCTATTAATCCTTGACGATGTGCTGTTCGAAGAGATTTTCTGCCGGCCTGATAACGCACAAAATTGTTGGGAGCGTGCTAATGGCCGCCACAACTTACAACTATATCGGAAACCGTCAGAATGTGTTTTTCTACAATGTGGTGCCCATTGTGATGCCTGAGGCAGCAGACTGAACATATTTGACGCTAAAATTCACAGTGTTTTTGCTTATGGTGCAATCAAAGGTATCAAATCCGTAATGCCAAGTAGTTTTGAAAAGTAAAATATTTGGTTCAAATGAAATAATCTAACCGCTTTTTCGTCTTCCAAAACACAGTCGCAACACGACATATACACTCCTTTAGCTAAAACATCGTTGCAGGCTAAGCAATTCGGTAAGCTTCCACCTCTGCTGTCGGTATTCCTTCTGACTTTACCAGCTGTGATGGTTGCATCCGACATTAGAGCCACCATATCTAGACTTGTGAACCGTTATAATACGTGCTATGTTCCAAGGTCTTGGGGGTTAAGGGGTTAACCTATAAGAAAGACTGTTCACACAACAAGACGTAACACATTTCAATAGAAAATTATAATCAACATTTAATGCCAGAGTAGAACCTCGACAGCACATTTGTTGCGTAACAGTTTAGCACTTCTGTCTATGAGTCTTTGAAACGTAAAAGTTATTGATACTTACATCTAGAACAATACGGATCGAAGGATTTCTGTGCAGAAATGCTATCAGTAGAATAGTCGCAAGATTTTGGAGCATAGCTCTTTTTATATTTGCCAAAATTGTGAATAATGATTCCTCTCTCGATTTTTTTACAAACGTTATCATCACTTAATTTAGGCACCAATCACTCGCACTCGAAGGAAATGTCCATGACATCGTTTATCTATTTGCTTTCAAAAGTTGAGAGAAAATTTCCTTCACGATTCTGTTCTAGAGCTTACTTCGCATCGAGTCGTGATTTTATAATGTTCTCTTCCCGAAAAAACTACATAAAGGGCTTAAATCTCGCAAGCCTGACGTAAGAAGTGAAAATGTAGGTTACAATCAAGCAAAATTGACTATTCGTGAATGAACCATTATCCCTTGATTTTCGACATCTTTACATTTTGGCGTGGCAGCTCGGTTATAACTACTTCCCCCCTGATTTATTTTCGGAAAAATTTGAAGATTTTGAAGATATGTGTTACTTTCAGATGGAAAAAGCACACCTCGAAGGCGATAATTGACAGGTAGACCTGCTGCAGGTACTCTCGTATCTTGACGGCATTCTGGACATCTCACTACGGGATCGTAGTAATCCGATGCATCGCTGCAATCATCCCGAAAGGTGTACTGCAAATCATTGATTTACTCGAAGCTTTATGTGCGGATAGTGCAACCACCCCATGATAAAATCCTTACAATTAGCCATATTCGTTAACAGGTTTTTGTGTTTGTAAAGGCAAGAGACGGACCTGACAGAAATTTAGATTCGATGTTGTCTCACTTGCATATAGAGGTGCAATGTGGACGTACTTACAAGCAATGCTACCTAACTTAGCTTCTGGTAAGAAGCATATATATTCTGAATCAGCTTCAAACACTGATTCCATATATGCTATTCCTGTTTGCCGCGCACCATTCCGAAGCGAGCATGGGTCTTTTCCTACCCAAAATTGGCATATTACTGAACATGAGAAGGCTGCCTGAAAATAAAAATCTGCAAGAAAAAGATGCTGAGGTATCGTAGTACAAATCCAGTCTTTTCTCACTAGAAAAGCTTAACGCAGGTGTATCACTACTTAAATGATGATGACGTGATGCCCCTGAGTCGATGAGCATGCCAATTTTGCGCAGGAAAAAGCCCATAACTCGCTTCGGAATGGTGCGTGGCAGCTAGGAATAGCATTTTTGGAGACACCGTTTGAAGCTGGTTCGAACTATGTATGTCCCTTGCCAAAAGGCCGAGCTAAGTTAGGTAGCCTCTTAGTGTCAAATATAAACTTGAAAAACTGCAATTCTTTCTTTCAACGATTGCCAAACGACGCCTTTTGCATAATGAAATTAGTTTCGTAGACATCGAATCTATGATTAATGCCCTGAAGAGTTGTAGTCATATAAATGATGGTTTTGGCTGAGTTGATACGGGATTCTGCTGTAATATTACTGCACCCTTGAGCAGATTTGTCTTCTGGAAAATCTTGTAAAGTTTACCCTTTTATTTTTTGGCATTATTATAAGGTCTTGGTTATAACGGGACAAGGGTTGTGTGTGTGTGTGTGTGTGTTGTGTGTGTGTGTGTGTTGTGTGTGTGTGTGTGTGTGTGTGTGTGTGTGTGTGTGTGTGTGTGTGTGTGTGTGTGTGTGTGTGTGTGTGTGTGTGTGTGTGTGTGTGTGTGTGTGTGTGTGTGTGTGTGTGTGTGTGTGTGTGTGTGTGTGTGTGTGTGTGTGTGTGTGTGTGTGTGTGTGTGTGTGTGTGTGTGTGTGTGTGTGTGTGTGTGTGTGTGTGTGTGTGTGTGTGTGTGTGTGTGTGTGTGTGTGTGTGTGTGTGTGTGTGTGTGTGTGTGTGTGTGTGTGTGTGTGTGTGTGTGTGTGTGTGTGTGTGTGTGTGTGTGTGTGTGTGTGTGTGTGTGTGTGTGTGTGTGTGTGTGTGTGTGTGTGTGTGTGTGTGTGTGTGTGTGTGTGTGTGTGTGTGTGTGTGTGTGTGTGTGTGTGTGTGTGTGTGTGTGTGTGTGTGTGTGTGTGTGTGTGTGTGTGTGTGTGTGTGTGTGTGTGTGTGTGTGTGTGTGTGTGTGTGTGTGTGTGTGTGTGTGTGTGTGTGTGTGTGTGTGTGTGTGTGTGTGTGTGTGTGTGTGTCCGTCCGTCCGTCCGTCCGTCCGTCCGTCCGTCCGTCCGTCCGTCCGTCCTTACGAAATTCGTAGAACATGTCTCAGCCAACATAATGAGCCCAAATTTTGCACAACGCAGGCCACTAGCGTGAAACTCCAATGTGCAAAAGCACAAGCGGATCCGCTGAGTGGATCCTTCAAAAGTGCCCGTCAAACGGATCCTCTTGGCTTCTGGACAGCAAAATTGGGCCTGTATATCCATTTTTTGATAAGTCACGGATATGTTTAACAAACTAATCTGCAGGCCATAGACTTTAGTCCACAAAATTGAACTAAATTTGATTGCTTTACGACAATGGCGCCAAAAAGGATTAGTTGCGTAAACGTTCAAATTGCCAGGATTTTACTTGATCGTTTGAGAAGATTTTTGCACAGAGATGTAGCCGACGGTGATTATTGTCATTATGGCAACTATAAAACTATAAAAAGTCCTGAAACTGATTCATATTTGCATTCATTCTTCTGGGAAGAGTTTCATCAACGCGAGAATACCGTTCTCACACTAAAAAGCTCTAGGAATGAGTAGCTGTTTACAAATCATTCGTGATAGCCTGCATAGCGCGGTGAGTTTCATTGTCATTAATATGATGAGTAAGGCATACGGAAAGTAGGGCCAGTGCGACCCTCTGCGAAGCAGATGTCACGCACTGGTATTCAATAACTCTGTGTCCCTGTTGCTTTCACTAACTTCTGTATTTCGGGACGCCGAAATCTTTTTGTTTAGCGGTACCTTAAATTGCGATGCAGCGGTCGTATCTTCAGAGGGCGTATTGAAACGGTCTTTGAAAAAGTCAATTTTTTTAAAAGAAACTTTAGCAACTAGGTTATGAAACATGTTGAGTGTTACGATTGAAATCAATTTAAAGTCAGTGCTGTGTTTGCAAGAGGTCGTACGGGCTTTGTTCAGGGTCAGCTCCAAAAAGGTGGCAGCGAAAACGTTAACTAAAAATTGCCACATCAACCCTTTCGGACCTAAGTTTTTTTCGGTATGCAAAGAAGAATCTTTCCTATTGTTTTTTACTTATTATCATATGCATAACATTACATCGGAGTTTAGAGTCTTTTTAACCGTACCAAATTTTTTTGTTTTTCAATTTTTTTGTTTTTCGTTTATTTTTGATTTTCAAATCTTCCTCAATACATGTAGACCCCGAATAGTTAGCGACTACACTTGCACAGCATTGTAATCAAACTTTTTAATATTATGGCTGGATGTGAAGCCGGTAAAAGTTATTAATTGGTTGCAATTCACTTGTATACAGAAATTTTTGTGCTGCTGACAGGAAGACAAATGAGCACGCGGCTTCAAGCTACATTTGAAAGGTAAAGGCTATATGAAGCGATCTATGAAAAGAGCAGCAAAGTATGTAAATGAACGCTAAAAAGACTATTTCATCTCAATATACCATTTTGATGTGATGAGCCATATTTTGAAGGCATCTTTGCGAAAGTGATGATCAGCATTGCATTAACCTTGATTGAATGGTTTTAAAGTTTCCGTGCTTGACATCTCTCACATTGTCTGAAAGCGCGTTATGGCGTCTTTTGCCCTTGCTGTGTGTTGAACACCCTAAACAAGAATCTCAACTGAGGAGCGACTGAATGCCTGTGGCAATCACCAATCGCCGTCAAATTGGGTGGAGTGGACCACCCACACAGTCTCTTGCAACCAATGCTGCTTTTGGCAGGGCTCTCTCGTCCAGCACCTTGAGACATCTCCACAGTCGAGAAACGCCGTAAAAAGCGTTTTTGGCAGCTTTTGAAATTTCCAAGCACAGTTTGAACTCTGCGCATCCAGAAAGCCAAGGGAGATAAAAAGTACGCAATCGAGGTTTTTGGAGATGGGTTGTTTCCTCGAACAAATATACACAAAAAACCTCATTTTAGCACAAAAAAGGCTATAAAAATGCATTTTTTAGTACTATTGGACATGTTTTTGAAGATATCACTTACTTCGTGCTTCATTCACGATCTCGATTTGGTGAGCTTAGAATCCCGGGCTTTGCACCGGGACTGGTATCTTTTTTTGGTGAAAGTTGTTACCATCCGGTGCAAAGCCCGGGATTCTAAGCTCACCAAATCGAGATCGTGAATGAAGCACGAAGTAAGTGATATCTCAAAAACATTCCAATAGTACTAAAAAATGCATTTTTATAGCCTTTTTTGTGCTAAAATGAGTTTTTGTGTAAATTTTTCGAGAAACAACGTTAGAAACAACGTTCTCAAACGACCTCCGACTACGATTGAGCCAGAGAAATCTGGAAGCTTTTGGAATTCAATAAACACCACACGTGGGGCACGGGGCAATCGGCTCTGATATCTTTCTACACGTTGTTTCAAACCACGTGCTAGCGGTCTGTATGTTATGGTGTAGCTCTTGATCTTGATATCTCTATTTCAACGCTGACAATGTCGTCAGACCCCAGACTTAAACGAGAAATCTGACAAAAACGTGCTTTCGATAAGCTCTTGCTCCTTCAGTTTAGTTCCTCACCTTGTTTTTTTGTGCATTCAACAAACATTGCCGTCTATAGTGCAGATAGGGTCACCGACCTACTTATTCTATGGCGAATTTTTTGAAAGCAAAAAAAGCAAAAAATGCATTTCCTTCATAACTCTTTTTTGGAGTGAGTACGCAACCAAATTTTTTTTTCATGCTTAGTGCTTTCTTGCTCAGAATGATGAGTAATGATGCTGGCAACGTTTGTGGAAACAGAATCTACAATGCGTGGGCAAATATCCAAAAGACGCTTCAAAAAGATTGGCTTTGATGTGATTTTTGAGTCTAGACAAATAAAATTTTTCGTTTTTTAGCTAATTTTTTCTGTTTATGTTCTTCTCGGCAAACAACACTTTCGAAACGCCATTGCCTTTGAAAAAGTAGCTAAAAAAATTAACTTCTTCTCGTCTTTCCCAAGTTGTTAACAGATGGATTTTGGACTGCTACTCGTAGTGCTACTCGTAGAGGGAGGGTTCAACCGAGTTTTACCTTTGCGGCTCACTTTCTAGACTATTGAAAGTATGGCTACACTTTTATTATCGCCAATTACACAATTTTAGGGAAAAAAGGCAAGCGTTTCGCGTTTGATGTTTGAGAAAAGCGCAAAATACTCAAGAAAACTGAAAGCACAAATTACCATAAAGCGGAAAATAGTAAAGTACGACATTTGATTTAGCACTCTAATCCATTAGTTCCCTTTGATTACTGTTTCCTATGAAGTCTTTGATCGTTGGGTCCTACTCAGTAAAATGAAAATGGTGAAGCGTTAGCGGCTCATCGTTTCTTTGCTCGCTCTGTTCATCAACTCATGTTTCAGCTTCATATATTGTTATTTGACACAGCAAATACAGGGCTTTCGCTTCTTCTTTTGCAGCAGTACATCAATGCAAGAAATTAGAAAGAAAAGGGTGATTCTGCAAACGAACAAGATAAGGCCGACTTTTGGTAGCCTTTTCGACAATCGGCGGGACATCCCATAAACAAATATTAGAAAGATGTTTAGTGCAAAAACGATTATGTGAAACTTACAAGCCTGTCCACGCAGGAACTGCATAGTGAATGCCCACAACTGAGTTGAAGTGGATCCACGAAACGTTCACAACAAACAGGACACGTCGCTATCTCTTGCACTTCAAAAGGTAGCACAGCACCCGATTGGCTACGAGCCATCTGAATGCTTTATGTCGCAGGCGGACTGTACATGCGGATAGCGATCGAAGGTGGATAAGATGAAATGCTTTAGTGGTAAGAATATAGGGGTAGCTTTAATTCTATATCTATATAAAAATAAAACTCAATGTCTGTAAGGTTCCGGTTTATTTGAATGTGTTTTATAGAAACGCCCGCCGTTGAACCGATTGGAGTGAAACTTTGGACACCTATGTATTTGGCAACTGCGCAAATTATAGGCTACTTTTTGAGGCGATTCGCAGGGTCCTCCCATCGTTTTATCGATTTGTTTACTAATATCTAGGGAAATGAAAGCTTCTCATGGTCTAATCAATCATTCCCCAATGTAAGGAGGGGCGATGAAGCTCATTCTAACCTCAGCGTCGGCAGAATGCGACAATTCGTCTCAAAGCGCTTTTCGCGAATGGCAGAAGGAGTTTGCAAGCGTAAGGCCCCGGACAGACTTCACGCGATTTAATCGTCGCGATCTAATCGCCAAGATTTCCATTCATTTTCATTTCACATTCAAAAATTTCGGGCTGAAAAAGTGTCACAACCGAATGCAAGTTGATAGGCAGGAAATGATGTTGTAACAGTTGTCTCGTCGCGATTCAGTCGCGACGATCAAATCGCGTGAAGTCTGCCCGGGGCACAAGTAACACATTTTGTTGGCCTTATTTTAACCAGGTGAAACCGGGATCGCAACCTAGTACAGTTTATTCTTGAGCTGCTCAAAATTTTTTTTTTGAAAAAGAGATGAAACTCTATTTGAATTTCTTCTTTGCGATATAAAGTCATCAGTCCAGTCAAGAGGCAAAAAGTCATATTTTGTCTTATCAATCAGCAAGGCTTTAGTGTACCCAGCTGTTTCGTGGCTCCCAACCCATACCCACTTTCGTATTTAGACCCAACAAATATACTTATATGTATATATTTGTAATTATGTATTTATACCCTTTATTATTCATGATAATGGAACTTAGCATTTAAATGATGATGCACTAAATCACTGACGTCAACAGCAGTCTTGCCACCCTTGTTTTCCAGTTATGGATAATTCATTGCAAGAAGTGGAAAACTGATCACACTGATAAAGTAACAGACTTCATACGCTGTCGTACAGGACTTCTTGATTGCAGTATCGGGGGCACCATCATCTTTCTCCAGCGTGGCCGTTTCGCCTGGGCTCTACGCCTCTTTCGCAAATGTGCAGTCATTTTGGCACGCTTAAAAGCAGTAGCTCGGCAGAATGAGACCCATGGCAAGGTCACAGAGTGAGAGCCTCCATAATGCAGTCTTTGGACCAAAGTTCGATCTTTTTCTATTACTTCTAACCAGGGTCAAGCGTGGGGTGCGGCACGCCACACCTGGGGGGTCGTATTGAGGAGTCAAAAGGGGAGGGGGTCGTAGTTGGGTAATCTGATAATAGTGATAACATGATATTCGTATCCTATCCATAATTAGCATGTCGAATAACCCCTGTAGACAAAGTGTGAGCGATTTCTGAAGATTCAAGATACTAGGCTACCTAAGTGAAATGGTCATTTTCCAACATGATTAACTTTGTTTCAAAGGTGAATTAGCTATCCGTTTTCGCACTCAAGACAAAGCACTACTCCTTCTTTGTTCACCTCCTAAAAAGCTGCGGCGGCTGCAGCTTTTTAGGGGGTGTGCCGCACCCCATTAACTATATAAAAAAAAAACAATTTTAGCAAACGTTGTTTATATGAATCGATAGCCTAGATCTCCTAGTTTTCACAGGAGCGATTTGAGCCTGATTCGTTTTCTTAGCTCTGAGTAATATTTGGTGAAAGCACAGCGATCAAAAGCGAAAAATGGGAAAAACGAGATTTTGGTTGGCTTCTAATTCCACAGTTTGGAGGTCTTCTGAAGCGGGATTCCTGAGGTGGACAAAGAAGGAGTAGTGCTTTGTCTTGAGTGCAAAAACGGATAGCTAATTCACCTTTGAAACAATGTTAAACATGTTGAAAAATGACCATTTCACTTAGGTAGTCTAGTATGTTGAATCTTCAGAATCCGCTCACACTTTATCTACAGGGGTTATTCGACATGCTAATTATGGATATGTTGCCCATTATGTTTGACAGGGCCTTCAAGTAATGCTATCTTAAGTGTATAGTTTAGGGGGGGGGTCTTATTAAGACAGCAATCAGGGGGGGGGGGTCGTAACCAGCGATCGTGTGCCACACCCCTTGCTTGACCCTGCTTCTAACCCTCAAATGTCAACGGAAAAAGAGCGCTCATCTCCTCTCCCCTTCGACCCCGCCCACCCTAATTTCAAACATGGACGAGTGGACGCAAAGCCGGCCAAGATGCAGAGTCGTTGCGGAACCCTTATGCTTATAGCATTGCGGCATGGGCGCTCTGAGGTGGAAGGGAATTCGCAAGGTGGGCGGGGTCGGACATGAAGGGAGATGGAAGCGCTGCTTTCGCGTTGAATTTTTGGGCCAATCCGACTCTGTAGTGACAAGGCCTGCTTTCTAATGTTGTTATGCCCGTAATCTTCATGGCCATTCACATCCATTTTTCGCTGTTGAGTTTCTGTGGCAATGTTCAATAATAATTCCTCCCTCTATCAAGACCTTATAATAACGGGCTAAGGGTTGTTTACGTGTTTTTGTGTGTGTGTGTGTGTGTGTGTGTGTGTGTGTCCGTCTGTTACGAAATTCGTAGAGCGTGTTCCAGCCAGCGTTTTAAGCCCAAATTTTGCATAGCGCATGCTACCTTCATGAAAGTTCAACGTGCAAAAGCACGAATAGATTCGTTGAATGGGTCCCTCAGAAATTGCGCGCCAAACGGATCCACCTGGCTTCTGTCCCGCAAAATTGGGTCCATATCACCACTTTTTGCAAAGTCCTGGATGTGTTTGGTAAGCAAATGTGCAAGCGATGGACTTTAGCCCAAAAAGTGGTCAAAAGTTTGCTACATAACGAAAACGGCGCCAGAAAGAGTTGGTTGCGTAAATGGTTAATTTGCTGAGATTCTAGCTAAGCATTTCAAAAGATTTTCGCACAGAGATGTAGCTCACGGTTACTTTTATCTTTATGGCGACTACCAAGCCATGACAACTTCAAAAACCTATTCAAATTTGCGTTTGTCTTCCTACGAAAAGTTTCATCCACGCGAAATCACCGATCTCACGTGAAAAAACTTTCTGAATGAGTAGTTGTTTACATTTAATTCGTGATAGTCGGCATAGTGCGGTAAGTTCCATTGCCACGATTTTACGAGAATGAGTAAGGCACATAGATAGTAGAGCCAGTGCGAGCCTCTGCGAAGCAGAGGTGACGCGCTGGTATATACAAAACTCAAAAATCAATATGTAAAGACTCTTTTGTTGTAAGACTTTCCTGGGTGTACCTAAGAGGCTAAAATTCTGTCCCGTGTGGATAAACGACAACGAAAACATAGCCTACTTTTTGAAACGACTTTCTTAGCCTTTATTGATTATTGGTTTATTTATTTGTTTACTTACATTTACGATAAGGAATGCTTACCATGAGTAGACGGAACACTTTCGAATTGTTTAAGCAGAGGCGGTAAAGCTGTTTTCGATGTCAAGCTCAAGAAGGGTGCGGCGATTTGAACCATTCAGTGCGAATTGAATTAAGCTCATGCGCTTGCGTTGGATCAGGCAGAGGATTTTAATAGTAATCCTGCAACACTTGCAAACAAAAAGAATCATTGGCCTCAATTTTGCAAGTTTCTTGCAGCTTCTAACAGTTTCTTGACAGAGTACTACAAGAGTGAAGCAAACTTGATTTCGGAAGAAGGAGTTGTAGCTTATCATATTATCAATCAAAACAGAAACACTAAGGCAGCTCGAAGCGATTGGTGGAGTTTATTTTAAAGTTTGTCGTTGATGCAGCATTTTTGCTAAAGGTGTGGTGATAGCCACACTCAAAGTTTTGACTGCAATTGCTTACTTTAGCCGCTTATGGGTATTCTGAAAGCTGTTCGAGTTCACGGAAAAGGGAGTGGTAAAGAAGTGACGCTTAATATACAAGGTATATATAATAGAGCGTTTGGATTGGATAGTTTCTAACATTTCGTACGTGATATAATACATTGGCAGCACTCGTATGTTTCACTGTTAGTTGCGAACCAGTGCGTTTTCTGCTTTGCAAAGGATCGTACTAGTTTTACTATTCACTTTGACGCAGGACCGGTTACGGCCTTGGTCTCCTTTCGTACAAATAATCTATAGATCGGATTCATAGAGCAAGTTGAGGAATTGATCGCGCAGTTTATACAGTCGCTAGGCGCGGCATCTCAAAGCGGTTTTGTTCGGACCAGCGATTATATAATAGAGCGTTTGGATTGGATAGTTTCTAACATTTCGTACGTGATATAATACATTGGCAGCACTCGTATGTTTCACTGTTAGTTGCGAACTAGTGCGTTTTCTGCTTTGCAAAGGATCGTACTAGTTTTACTATTCATACGCCTTATTCAAGCGCGCAGTGCTGTCCATAACGAATAAATCGTAAGCATCTACTCATTGTAAAAGTTTTTTCGTGTGAGATCGGTAATTTTTCGTGAGCGGAACTTTCTAAAAAGCAAATGCACGTTTGAATCGCTTGAATTTTTACGGATTGGTGGGCGCCGTAAGGACAACAGTTACCGTGAACTACATCTCTGTGCAAACATCTTTTCAAACGCTCAAGTAGAACCTTGGCAAGTTGAAACTTTGGGCAACCAATCCTTTTTGGCGCCCTTTTCGTAAACTAATAGATGATCATTTTTCAAAGCAAAATTCCATGCCTTGCACATTCACTTGTAATACATTTCCATGACTTTGCAAAAAATCGTACTACGAACCCAAAGTTGCTAGTAAAATTTAAGTGGATCTTTGATGCACTTTTTTTTGAGGGATCCACCAAACGGATCCACGCGGTTTTTGCAGGGCATGGACCTACATGCTGCTATTCTGTGCTAGTCGGGCTCAGGAGCTTAGTTAAAACTCGCTCTCCGAATGTCGTGACGGACAAACAGAACACACACACAAAAACAACTCTTAGGCCCGTATGCACGTACATCCCCGCTGGAGAGGGGAGGGGAGCTGGATCCCCAGGGGAGCGATCCCCTTTATTGAACCCCGCTATGCCATAGAGGAGGGGAGCTATCCCCTCCCCCGCACCCACAGCGGGGAGGGTGTCATTGCGGTAGTCGCATCTAGCTCATGGCTACCTGAACATCTCGCCAAAAAAGCTATTTTCGGCCATTTTTTGTGTGCTAAGTGGCTTTTGGGATGAGAAATACAAGAATAGTGATTCCAAGTGCCTTTGTTCCTTTGCTCAGTCTTCTTTTTTCCTCCTTTCACCCTTCCCATTGTATCTCCCCCCATCGCTGTCTTCTTCTTTTCCCTATTACTGGTTGTAAGGGTTTCTTATACTTGTTACGTGCTGTCGTAGTATAATGTTGATTTCTGAAGTGGTGTGATTCTATTTAGCAGTTTTCTCGCAATTATGTTATGGCTTACTTTTCTCATAGAAGAATTCATGAGTGTGCAGTTTTGTAGTTTTTGTGTTTTTTCCAACGCTTGCTAGCCATTTCTTTGCGGTACTCTTTCGCTGCCACAAATTCGGTATTTGACTTCAGGGATATCGATCGGGCGGACCCTGGTGGGGATCTCTTCCCCTCCCTCCCCGTATGCACGAATGTAGCTCAACAGCGAGGGGGAGGGGATCGACATCCCTTGCAACGGAGTAGGGGTTCGATGGTGTAGATCATGCCAGAGAAGCGAATATTCTGGTTTTAATCAACTATCACCAAGCAATTCGTTCAATTTGATGAAAGATTTCCTTTGAAAGCCGGATTCCCCTCTCAGCGACCTGTAGCTTGCAATCTTGTCTCTCTTCTAAATTCCCCTCTTGAAAAGAAACCCAAGCAATAATAGCTGCCATTCTCGAATATTTGTAGGAGTTCTTGATCATTCAAGAAATTTGCGCATTTTTCAAATGACATAATAGTTTTAGCCAGATAGGCTGATCAGATACATTGTAATTATCGTATTACATGATATATTGCTCCTACGTTGTTTATTTAACACCAGTGCGTCACCTCTGCTTCGCAGAGGCTCGCACTGGCCCTATGCTCTGTATGCCTTACTCATTCCCGCATAATAATGACATTGAAACTCACCGCGCTATGTAGGCTATCTCGAATAATTCGTAAACAACTACTCATTCGTAGAGGTCTTCCATGTGAGATCGGTATTTTCGCGTGGATAAAATCTTTCCCAGAAGAACAGATGCAAATTCGAATGGGATTTTGGAATTTTTATGGCTTGGTAGTCGCCGTAAGGACAACAGACATAGTGGGCTACACCTCTGTGCAAAATTCTTCTCAAATAATCAGGTAAAATCTTGAATATTTGACCGTTTACACAGCGAATGCTTTTTGGCGCTGTTTTCGTAAAGTAGTAGACTTTTCATGACTTTTTTAGGCTAACGTCCATGGCTTGCACATTAGCTTGTCGAATATATCCTTAACTCTGCAAAAAGTAGTACTACGGACCCAAATTTACTGGCGAGAAGCCAAGTGGATCCGTTTGACGCGCAATTTTCAGTGGATCCACTCAACGGATCCGCTCATGCTTTTGTATATTGAGGTTTCATGCTGGTAGCGTGCGCTGTGCAAAATTTGGGCTCAGGACGTTGGCTGGAACACGCTCTACGAATTTCGTGACAGACAGAGATTCACACGCACAGACAGACAAACGTAAACAACCCTTAGCCCGTTATTATAAGTTACCAGTGCGTCACCTCTGCTTCGCAGAGGCTCGCACTGGTTCTACTATCTAGGCCCTACTCATTCTCGCATAATGATGGCATTAAAACTCACCGAGCAATGCCGACTATCATGAAAAAAATGTAAACAACTACTCATTCCGAAAGCTTTTTATGTGAAATCGGTGATTTCGCGTGGATAAAATTTTTTTGCAGGAGAACAAAGCAAAATTTTGTACGTTTTTGATTTTCCCACAGTCTTAACAGTCGCCATAAGAACAGTAGTCACCATAAGCTACATTCAGGTGCAAAAATCTCATCAAATGCTCTGGTAAAAGCTTGGCAAAATGACCATTTATGCAACCAATACTTTTTAGCGCAGTTTTTGCAAAGTAATGGACTTTTGATCACTTTTTTTGGCCTAAGTCCATGACTTGCACATTTACTTGCCATGAACGTCCACGACTCTGCAAAAAGTGGAATTACGGACCTAATTTTGGGGGCCAAATGCAAAGTGGACCCGGCTGACGCGCAATTTCTGAGGAATCCACATAACAAATCCGCTCGTGCTTTCGCATGGTGGACTTTTATGCTAGTAGCATGCGCTATGCAAAATTTGGGCTCAAGACCTTTGCTGGAACTTGCGCTATGAATTTCGTGACAGACAGACATTCAGACACACACACACACAAAAAAACGTAAACACCCTTAGCGCGTTATTATAGTAGGATAAGCTATCTTGAAAAAAATCATCTTATATATAAAGCTGAATGTCTGTTTGTCTGTCTGTCTGTATGTCTGTCTGTATGTACGTATGTTCCGAATAGAAAATTCCATTTCTGAACCGATCCGGACCAAACTTGGCACACATACACTACGGGCCCCGGCGGGTGTCATAGGCTACTTTTCGTCATCGATCGATATCGATTTTATCGATTTTTATCGATTTTTTTGCTGAGTTCACCTACGGGGCTGGGAGTTGGCAAAGGGGGGTAATCGAGCATGGGGATTCCGAATACAATATTGGTTTTCAGGATTATCGATTACTTTTATCGATTTTATCGATTTTTTTGCAAAGTTTGAGCTACGGGGCTGGGAGTTCGCACAGGGGGGTAATCGAGCATGGGGATTCCGAATACAATATTGGTTTTCGGGATTATCGATTACTATTATCGATTTTATCGATTTTTTTGCAAAGTTTGAGCTACGGGGCTGGGAGTTCGCACAGGGGGGTAATCGAGCATGGGGATTCCGAATACAATATTGGTTTTCAGGATTATCGATTACTTTTATCGATTTTATCGATTTTTTTGCAAAGTTTGAGCTACGGGGCTGGGAGTTCGCACAGGGGGGTAATCGAGCATGGAGATTCCGAATACAATATTGGTTTTCGGGATTATCGATTACTATTATCGATTTTATCGATTTTTTTGCAAAGTTTGAGCTAGGGGGCTGGGAGTTCGCACAGGGGGGTAATCGAGCATGGAGATTCCGAATACAATATTGGTTTTCGGGATTATCGATTACTATTATCGATTTTATCGATTTTTTTGCAAAGTTTGAGCTAGGGGGCTGGGAGTTGGCACAGGGGGGTAATCGAGCATGCTGATCACCCCCAAGGGGGGTGATCAGCATGCTCGATTACACTCCTGTGCCAAATTCCAGCCCCCTAGCTCAAATTTTCAAAAAATCGATAAAATCGAAAAAGTAATGGACGATCCTGAAAGCTAATATTGTGTTCGTAATCTGCATGCTCGATTACCCCCCCCCCTGTGCAAACTCCCAGCCCCGCAGGTTAAACTTTACAAAAAAAATCGATAAAATCGATAAAAGTAATGGACGATCCTGAAAACTAATATTGTGTTCGTAAACAGCATGCTCGATTACCCCCCCCCCTGTGCAAACTCCCAGCCCCGCAGGTCAAACTTTACAAAAAAATCGATAAAATCGATAAAAGTAATGGACGATCCTGAAAACTAATGCTGTATTCGGAATCCCCATGCTCGATTACCCCCCTGTGCCAACTCCTAGCCCTGTAGGTGAACTCTGCAAAAAAATCGATAAAAATCGGTAAAATCGACATCGATCGATAACGAAAAGTGGACTGTGACACCCGCCGGGGCCCGAAGTGTATGTGTGCCAAGTTTGGTCCGGATACGGCGGAGCCGGGTAAGCCAGCTAGTAACTTATAATAACGGGCTAAGGATGGTTACGTGACTTTGTGTGTCTGTGTGTCTGTTACGAAATTCGTAGAGCGTGCTCCAGCCAACCTCCTG